TAAGATAATACAAAATGAATATATTATATATGTAATATGATATATTATTCAATTATGTAATCACTAAATTATTTTCCTATTTTGTAATAATAAGTAATAACTATTAAGTAATTCGGGTGCTTCAACTTTGAAACAAAACAATATCCTACTGTTGGGCGCGTTTTTTGTTTGCTGATCACGAAATCGATATTGAAAATTGAAATGACCATGACATGGTTCACGTTTATGTTTATGTCTGATTGCCAATGATAAAATCATTGTCAAGTCCAATCATAAACAACACAGTGTAAGCGGAAGTTCTTCAGCGATTTCCGTTTCCGCGGCGCATTAAGTGCAAATGTCGAAAAACTTCCAGTTCTCTTATTTTGTACATGTATGTGCTAGACTGTTGATTTAAGTCTGTATGCAGAATTGTAATGTATGCAAACGTAATTAAACGAAGAGGTGTTAACAACAATTTCCAGAGCCCAAGGAATACAAACATCGTTTGGTTCCCATGGTTCACATAAATGTTATTAAACGGGTTTTGTTTGAAGACGAAAATCGCGAACTTAATTCCATTCAGGGATTCGGCAAAATATCTGGTAACTTAAGTTTTCTATCCGTGTTTGTAAATATATTTTTTGCTTGCAGATGTATAAACTATTAAATACACAAAGAAGCATTCTTTTATTTGCTCAACAATTTCGGGGCAACATGATTTTCGTCTCATATTTTTTTCTAATTTATGAATTTCCTATGTTCTTGGAATTTTTACGCTGAATCGAGAGGGTATCATAATTTTGGCCAGAATAGATTGTAATTTTTGTAAAGGTACTAAAAGAGTTAAAGGTTTCGTGTTTTTATCGAGAATGCAAAATGTAAGGAAATGTTTACCATCGGGGATGATCATTCTGGATATATGTGGTAATATCTACATTAAATGTTGTTACGAATTTACTTAGTGTATCCAATGTGTGTTTTATTTTATGTGTTGTTCGACTTTCATTTTGAAAATTAACGACATAAAAGTGCAATTGCCTAATTTGTTTGAGTGCACATCGGTACGTAAGTATTTCTAGGTATCCCATTGTATTTGGCACCGTTCACAGATTAGAGTGAAAGCGGAGATATACAAGTTGGACATCAGGATAATGGGACCCGAAAGCTTCATCGTGATGAGCTTTACAAAAGCCCAGCTGGGCTTCTCCACCTTCTTGCCATGTTTTATACAAAACTTGCTTACGCGATAAACTTTTGGCCGGAAATAATACTTATAATAAATCCATATACTTTTAAAACATTTCTAACAACCGCTAATAGAATCCGGTCTGATTGAAAGATCGCTTGGCTCAAGCATGGTTGTTGCCGGCAAAAGCTCGTCGTATTCGTCACTGTAGTGGATGCTAGGACCTAGGTCAATGCTCCAATTTAGAGCGGAAAAGTGCATTCGTATCTAGAGTTCGTGGACCTTGGCTGGATCGAAATGCGATCTTGCAGTTTTTCATTATGTTATGTTGAAATAATGTTCATTCGTTTAGCCAAAATTAATGTATATTTTACTTAAAAGAAAAAACCCGCTACCTAATTTTTTATAATAATTTATTAAAAATTAACTTCTACAAAAAAGTAATTTAGAATATTTTCCATTCCATTTAGAGAACTTTTCCACGCCAAGGCCTGTGATTTTTTTGCAATCATCTAATGTACCAGGCGTCGCTTAAATTTCATGCGTGCTGCCTGTTCTAATGCGAAAAAAGGGTTTTACCACTAATGGACACAAAGTAAAAGGCGTCTTGACTTAATTGCAACATGCTTTGCGCATGGCGAATACAAACTGTGCCAGCGGCTATTGATGCAGCATTATATAAAGCATGTCACAACGTGCAGCACCTTCAATACGGACAAGTCCAAATAGTGATGAGAATGTCAGGATTTCGGTGTGCTGTGCTATAAAAAAAAAGTACATCCAGTAAAAAATATATCCAATAAAGTCCGTTAAGCACAGAGTGATGTTAAAAATGGTTCGAGTATTGCTAGTTCTATTCATTATATTCGGGTAAGTTTTTCAACAGAAGTTAGTTCTTTAACTAGATTCTAGATTTGGATGCATCTTTCTGTATACTAAGTACTCAAGAAAATTTCGCGTATACAAAACATAATCAAGCTAAGTGCCGCCTCAAATTAATTTGACTGACACTTGCAGCTTTGAAATATTAATCCATGCCTAAGTACCCAAGTTTGAAAATGCAGCCCACAACGGCATGTGATTTAGCTAAAACGGAAAGCAATCAATAAAAGTTGACAAAGAGTCGATTGATTTTATAATCCCTACACTCTGGGCGGAAGTGAATGAACCCAAGAACAGCAGATAATTTATTCAAACTTATATCAATGTTTCAGATGTATAATCCACCTCTGTACGTGTGAGGATGCTACTTCCTCAGATCTTCTGTATATAAAGACTTTGGGGCCCTCGACGATTTTAACAAAAATGCCGAATATAACAAATGAGTTTAGCTCAAGAATCTTCAATTCCTTTCGCATATTGCCATCGCCAAAGCCAAATTCAAATGGATCGCTTAACCGGAGCCAAAGCCCCACAAACTTAAGTTATTTCTCCGAGATTTCCAATCAAAGACGAGTTCGACGAAAGGCAGCGGCCGACATGCTAAGCCGTAATATTTCAATGCTTTTGGAAAACCTCCTCAAGCGCTACGAACAATCCCAACTTCCCACTCATGGCCAAGGAGTTCCGACGGTGGTGCAAACGAACATCCTCATCCGGAGCATGGGTCCCGTGTCTGAGCTGGACATGGACTACTCGATGGACTGCTATTTCAGGCAGTATTGGCGGGACAAGCGGTTGAGCTTTAAAGGACCCATCAAGAGCCTATCGCTGAGCATCAAAATGCTGGACAAGATCTGGAGGCCTGACACATATTTTTACAACGGCAAACACTCGCAAATTCACATGATTACTGTGCCCAACAAATTGCTCAGACTGGATCAGAATGGTGGGATTCTTTATTCAATGAGGTATGTTAAGAAATTTCTTCCCAAATTCCATAAATAATCAATGTTTTTGGGTAATATAGACTAACAATTAAGGCTACATGTCCCATGGAGTTGCAAAACTTTCCAATGGACAGACAATCATGCCCTCTAGTAATTGGAAGTTGTAAGTTTATTAACATTTATATATTCGCCCTATCATATCCATGCATATTACTTTCAATTCATTAGATGGCTATATCAACCAACAGCTAATCTATGAATGGAAAAATCAGGACGATGCAGTGTCCTTTGTTCCAGGAATGACTCTGAATCAATTTGATCTCATTAGCATGATGCATCGCAATTTTACAACAGTTCGTCGCGAAGGCGATTTTTCAGTCCTGCATGTGGCTTTTAATCTCAAACGACACACAGGATATTTCCTCATTCAAGTAAGAACACATTATTACTGTATAGATTGTCTAAAATCCCTGTAAGCCTCCTAAGCATTCCCTAAACTTTCGCATATTTAACTAATTAGTGCTCACGATGCGGTTTAGGTATATGTTCCCTGTATACTGATCGTGGTTTTGTCATGGGTCTCCTTCTGGATACATCGCGAAGCCACCAGTGACAGAGTGAGTCTGTGCGTGACCTCAGTGCTGACCCTATCCACCATTAGTCTGGACTCACGAACCGATTTGCCAAAAGTCAAGTACGCCACAGCTTTGGATTGGTTTCTATTGATGAGCTTCCTTTACTGCATTGCCACCCTGTTGGAATTTGCCGGGGTCCACTACTTCACGAAACTCGGAAGCGGAGAGAGTCCTCAGCTGGAGGATCAGTGGGAGGACATCTGCATAGCCAACTCATTATCGGATCATGGCGGTGAGGTCGATGGTGATGGTGAAGCTGAAGCTGACGCTGATCCATTTGCGGATGAGGACTCCAGCAATGGTAGCGAGAATGATGAAAACGAGGCCGGAGCTAGTGAGTCCGTTGAGTCCAAAAGCGGCGTCTGTGTGTGCAACAAAAACGACGCCCTCGGGCTGGAGTATGAGGTATCGTTACAGAACTCACTTGCTGGAGCTGGTTTTCTCAAGAGAAACGCCATGTTCTGCCCCACATATAACGTGAGTTAAGTTTAAAGGCTGAGAAAAACCCCTGAAATTCTTGTATTTGTCAGGACCCATCGTACATCCTGCCAAACACCATGGAGAGAACCACCCAAACGGAGGCCCCGGCCGTTTCCCGCTTGCATCAGATGTGGATGTGCCTGAAGAGCGACAACAGTTTCCGGAAACAACGAGAACGCAACGCGGCGGCCCAAAAGAGCGAACAAGGTGGCGCCAACTGCTATGTCAATAGTGTATCCCTAATCGATAGGGTGGCGCGTATTGCCTTCCCCATGTCCTTCGCATTTCTGAACCTACTGTACTGGTGGGCCTATGGAATGTACAAGAAGGAGTTCTCATGGTCCAATATGAAGTCATAGAGTTGATTAATAAATGTTGATTCTGAATTGAATTGATTTTTGAATGTGTGCTACTTGGGCACCGTTTTGCCGGCAAAAAGCAAAAAGCTCGTCGTGCGGTGGGTGACCGCAATAAATGTGGCTTAAGTGTCAATCAATCCGTACTTATTTATGGATCTGTGTCAGTGTGTTCAAATGCAATGCTCGCACATTTTTGCAGGACATTTCATGAAGCAAAAAGGTTGCACGTTTCCAAAGGAACAAGAAAATGCAATTAAATCAAAGTTGGCAATACAGATACACCGTCTTGAGCTCTCAAAATCGATGCATACATATTTTTTGAATGTTTATTCAGCATACAGATTATTTAATTTCAAAAAGGTACAAAGCTTTCCGCGAGCTTAACCGCGCGATGTCGCTTTGCAAAAAGCACAGCCTCATTGCCAAATCTGAAGGCGAAAAGGACATCCACGGAAAGCACAGGCCTACGTATGTATTTGATAACACGAACCGACTTGGATAATAGGGATGCGCAATGCAGGTCAAGCCGAGCGAAATGAACTCACCCGAGAAGCTCCCGCACAAGCATCTCTATAAGCAATTATTCATTAGATAGATATAGATACTGTGGGTGCTCGCACGCAGTTCGCAGCAGTTCGAGGCTACGCGTGAACCAAAGGACCATACAAAATACAAATATACAAAAATACTGACAGACGGGAAAACGAGGTGCGAGCGGGAGAGGGAGGCGCAGCAGCGATAAAGTGATAAAGTTTGCCAATGCGTTTGCGAATTCGCGTTTTATTCGCGTACTAGTGCTGGTTGATATTGATATGGCTGAAAAGGGAAGAGGAACTGGAAGTGGTGCCCCAAATGCACAAGTAGCTTGAATTGTTTGCATTCGATTGTAACGTGCCCCAATATCAACATAATGCATTCGCTTATCCAAATCGGCTTCTTTTTTAAATGTGCAAGCTCGCATACAAGGCATTATTTCGTGGGCATTAAAAAACTGGTGTTTGAATAATATTTTTTCATTTCGAAAATATTAACTGGCCCAATAGTTGTTATGAAAAGCGAGACCTCGAAAAATGTGTTCGGTAGAAAATCTAAAAAAGTCGGCGTGTAACAAGGACACTCGCTTGGCGTTGCCACCTTGTTCAGGTGTTTTAAGACCAGCAATTAGTTTAAGGACATAATTATGGTGCAATTAAAATCTTCACAATAATTGTTTCGCTCATGTTACATAATATAAAGAACTTAAGTGCCGTGTATCCGATAGGACTGCAGTGCATACTACTATTGTTCTTATTTTGCTTGCACTTTTATTGATACCTAAGCCATCGCTGAAGAATTCGCGTTCTTAATTGGTCAGCGATAATAAAGCAAGTGCTGAAGAATTCGCCGCAAATTTGGTACAATTTCCTGTTTATTTTGTTTACTTGCAATGGGGCTTTGTACATATTTGCCGTTCATTATTATTCTTTTCAGTAAGACTATAAAACCACGAATACCTTGTCATCCACAGCTTTTTGAAACATGGCACGATAAGACAGCCAGATGCCTTTGATTCTGCTACCACGATGCGAGACCAAAAGCTGGAAATGACAGCGCAATCGATTCCAAAAAGTTGAGACCCAACAAACGACACAAGCAAAAGCTGTCAATATGACATGTTTTACGCGCGTCGGAGTATCCTGTAGTCTGTTCTTTTTCCTACTGGGCGCCCAGCTACAATTGATTCGGTATGTGACTGAGTAGTTTAACCAAATTGTCAATTATCATTACTGGTGATTTTTATATAAAAAAACAGATGGGACATTCTGGGATACTTCAAATTGAAAATGAATAGAACAATTTATACCTAATAATTCGAATACATTTTTCCAGATGTATTCGAAAGGATGTACTAGCTGGCCGCCTGGAGAATGTCACCCAAACAATATCAAACATACTGCAAGGATACGATATTCGACTCAGGCCCAATTTCGGAGGAGAGCCCCTACACGTCGGCATGGATTTGACCATAGCCAGCTTTGATGCCATATCAGAAGTTAACATGGTAGGTGTATGCAGCACTATGATGGTAAAAGATAATTCTAATTGCATTTGTGTCATCAAATCATTAGGATTATACGATAACAATGTATTTAAATCAGTACTGGCGCGACGAGCGTTTGGCATTTAATATCTTTGGACAATATTTCGACGACGAGAATGACGACGGCATAAGCGATGTGCTTACATTATCCGGAGACTTTGCTGAAAAGATATGGGTACCGGATACGTTTTTCGCCAATGATAAAAACAGGTGCAGCAAAGCCAGTTATTTTTCATGCAATTTCTAAACTGTTCGGTTTTAGTTTTCTGCACGATGTCACCGAAAGGAATAAACTGGTGAGGCTTGGCGGCGATGGAGCTGTTACTTATGGCATGAGGTTCACCACAACACTCGCCTGCATGATGGACCTGCACTACTATCCATTGGACTCCCAGAATTGCACTGTGGAAATTGAGAGCTGTAAGTGATCCTTTATTTACATGGTTGATGGATTAACCTGGGCTTATAAAATATGCATATACTTTATAAAATCCAATTTGGAAACAGAGATCTTGAGATTGTTTGATTTGATTAACCCATATGCTTTTCAACAAACCATTTGCAGCCCTTTTTCACACAGAAGATATTTAAGAATACTTTTTTGAGAATGTAGTATAACAGAATACAAAAAAACTTAAAGCAAAAAAGTAATAAATGAGGAGGCTAGATATACATATAATAGTTGTTATAATCAGATCCAAAACATAAAATAAACACGTAAACTATTTTATCACTAATAATTAAATTATACGTTTAAAATACTTCAACTTGGCAGATGGATATACTGTCAGCGATGTGGTCATGTACTGGAAGCCAACGCCAGTGCGCGGAGTGGAGGATGCGGAGCTGCCACAGTTCACCATCATTGGGTACGAGACCAATGACCGGAAGGAGCGGCTGGCCACTGGAGTCTATCAGCGCCTCTCGCTTTCATTCAAACTGCAACGGAATATCGGATACTTTGTATTCCAGACCTATCTGCCCAGCATTCTGATCGTAATGCTGTCGTGGGTCTCGTTCTGGATTAACCACGAGGCGACAAGTGCCCGGGTTGCATTGGGTATCACCACGGTGCTCACCATGACCACCATCAGCACGGGTGTTCGCAGCTCACTGCCGCGTATATCGTATGTGAAGGCGATCGACATTTATCTGGTCATGTGCTTCGTTTTCGTGTTCGCAGCCCTCCTGGAATACGCTGCCGTTAACTATACTTACTGGGGCAAAAGGGCTAAAAAGAAAATAAAGAAGGTCAAAGAATGTTGTCCAGGCAAGATCGGTAGGTCTACACTACAATTGGTGCAATACTCGTATATACCCAATGTTTAAACAACCCACTTCCACAGGAAAGAGTGAAAGATCCGAGACGTGTTCAACGACAGAGGACATTATCGAGCTGCAGGACGTCCGAATGAGTCCTATACCTTCTTTGCGAAGAGGTACCTACAATGCCACCCTCGACTCCATCGGCACCGAGACCATGAATTTAGGAAAGTTCCCCCCAAGTTTTCGAATAACTCGTAACTACGGCACCGGGCACAGCCAGCTTAGACGTCGCGCCCAGAGGGGTAAGCATGAGAGTTAACCTTATATTAGCTTATCGTAACTGATACTGAAATCCGATTTATAGGAATCTCCACCCGCCCACGCATGTTGCATGCACTCAAGAGAGGTGCCTCTGCTATTAAGGCCACCATACCGAAGATCAAAGATGTCAATATTATTGACAAATACTCCCGAATGATATTTCCGATTAGTTTTCTTGCGTTCAATCTTGGCTACTGGCTGTTTTATATTCTGGAATGATATATATAACGTGAACGAGTAATCAATTCCCCTAGAATTCCCAAACAGAACCATGAGACCCAAATACGACTTTTTATAACCTCCATAATAAAGATTGACTTCGCCATAGTATTTGGGCGTACCTGAATCATTAGCACGACTCATTTTTCTGCTCTTCTCTCCCACCCGCTGGTTTTGATCAATAAATCAAGGTAAGATCCAAAATTAATTTTGGCGAATGTGCGAATGATGTGACTATTCTGCTTTATGATCGATATGACCGCCCAATTTTCCATTGAGAACGCACTGATTATTAGTTTCTACTGTTTACTAATCCAAGTCGCTTATAGCTAGTCTTACGTCTAGCGATTCTATATATAATCCTGCATCCATTGTCAATCCACTTCTTCAATTCAATCGAATAACCACCAATGCTCCTCGAGCTCTCCGTTAGCACTAATGTGACGAGGACTCAGGCTCACTGGGTTCGAATCCACCGCCGCACATTGGTCGATCACACGAAAACGCTGGCCAAAAGTCACAAAATCAATATTAGGAGCTCAGGTATTTTCGGGCATTCGTATATTACAATAATTTACAAAATTTAGTGAATGAAATACTGCAGAAAGAAAACTTCTATTATTTGCCAAATGGAACCCTTTTACCCCAAATTTTCCTCTTGATCGGCGCCGATATTTTTACTTTCCCACGTTTTCGTTTCTGTAGGAATTTCCTCATTTAGTTGTGTAAAATACTGTCGGAAAAATAAAAACACTAATGCACAACCGGACATACCCGAACCATGGAATGGTTCCCGGAATTCGCATTTTGATCCGCTGCTGAAGATGCGTTTGTCGCGAAATAATCAGCACCGCCTATGTAACTTACAAATTTGTCATAGTTTAAAATAACATTTGAAAGCGGAGCAAAAAAATAATGATAGGTAAGATTACACACCTGTTGCGGACTTTGGCAGGTTAACTACATCGCGCCGAAATGTTGACAAATTTTGTGTGAATCTAGAAGTTCATTGTTAGCATTAATGCAACAGCAGATGGGCGAGTTGTACACGACTCACTTTTCTTTGTTTTTACTGGAAACATTTCGCTCAATTCCGACCATCAGATCATCGAACCATTGCGCCATTGTCTGTTGCTTCTCAATTGGTTGACCACAGATAATTCTATCCTTCAAGGATCTAATACAATAATTAAAGAAATGGTATTCGGTCAGGTTATATTCTTAATTATTGCTGTGAGATATAGTTTAATATTTTTACCGGTAATAGTCCTCATAAAGTAATATGAGAACCAGCAACGGACGCGACATGGACCACTGGTTTCGACAATCCTCTGCCAAAACGTTGTTCAGCAATGAGGACATCATACTCTGGAGTAACTCAGAATTCATTTCAACAACCTGAGAGGAAACAAATAATTAAATAGAGCTCCGCGTTCTTTCTTTTCATACAAACCTTTAGGAATTGCGCATTTTCTTGATTTAAGCTACGGAGCTTTTTGTTTGGAAATGTGGAAACTACAAAATGTATAGATTTTAGGTTTGAAATCTTAACATTTTATGTTTTACAGCTTACCTTTCATCTGGAGCTGCTTAAAAATGTACGAAACAATACTATCCAAAATTGTGCAGCAACTTATATAAATGGCCGAGTCTGAAATTAGATTTGTGTTACTAATATACTATATACTAATGACTATAACTGTGGACACACCTAGTGCGGCCAGTCCTTTGGTAAGACTTTTCAAAATGTAAACGAAAGCAGCAGGCTCCAAAGCAGCCAAATAGGAAACGTGATCTTGGGACAGACAATTTAGTAAGTTGTAGTACGCCGTTGATAATTTAGGGTATTCCTGCAATTTTACAATTAGTTTTACAATAATTAATGAACTGTATCATAAAGTTACTTACAAGTAAATCGCTCTGTTCTATGGTGAGAATCAACTTGGCAATAATATTAAGTACACTATCCAATGTATCATCTCCGTACAACTTGAATACTCCACAATTGACATAGTTGCCGCCAAGTGAGTTTTTTAAGATTAAGAAGCATATGGCAATTCCCTTAAGTCTCATCGGGTAAAGTTGATCACGTGGAACTTCTTGATGGAGAATGCGATTGCCGTATATACAAATTAGTTTCGAAGCCTCGCGGAATAGGAGAATGCCCATTGGGCTGGATACATTGCCTGCCAGTCTTTGGGTGCGGCAATGCACCAGCTCGGCAAACAATTTGAGAATTGGTGTCGTAACGGCAGGATCGTGAGCCCACAGTTCCATTGCACGCAATAGTATGGGCAAATAGTCCGCATAATACAACCATTCAAAAAGCATGGTGTATTGAATGCGCGCGTTGAGCGGAAGCGCTAATCCACGGAGGTCTCGAGCCAAACCAATAATGGCCTTCTTAGCCTCTTCGTTAGAAAATATGTTATTGTCCATCAGCACAGAGCCAAGGGATTCGAATTGATCTAGGTAACAAATACATATATTAGTATTTGAGAATGTGAGAATTAAATGGGGGATTTTCAAATGATTATCAATTCATAAACTAACTTGTTAAAGGTTCCAAGAAATTGTAGAATCTTTCTTCATCCTCGCCCAAATCGAACATCAGCAATCGGCCTAATGAAGTATAGAACATTGTGCGACATCTCATCTCGCTCAAAGTGGAATTCGTTCCTAGGAATGGGAAATGTTCGCTTGTGTGATGTGTAAGCATAAACTGAACTTCTTCTAGACGTGCCAGCTTGCGCACAGAATTAAAATGCACAGAGAGATCGGATAATAACATCAGGGTTTTGGTGATAATCGGCTCTGAGCGTCCCCAAAACTTTAAATTTGTAATGCTGAGAGATGCACGTAATGTTAGATCGATTAGGTCGATTAATTTTAAAATATAAAATACTTACATTTTGCGATTAATAAAACTTAAAAGCATTTGCTCGTCGCTCAGTCCAAATACCTCGCTAAGTCTCTTGTTCAAATTGGCTTTTTGCGCCTGCTCGCTGCTGTGCATTTTTCGAACCTGGTCCAAAAAGCTCAGTATCGCCAGCTCCAGCTTTTCGCAACCAGCTTGGGGCAATCGAGCATCGGTGAGACTCATCAGTTGCAGTACTCTTATCACGAGCTCCGCGTCCATTGTGTCATGCTCATCGCTCGTCGTTACGGAAATACGACCCACTATGGCCGAACCGATTATATACACCAACCACGTTAATTGTAGCTCGTGTATGGTAATATCTATGGTATTGGCGTTTGGCGTCTGCAGCAGATTCTCATACTCTCGGGCCTTCTGATCGAAGTGCTGGACAAGAAGACTACACGTCTTGTTATATTCGCACCTTTCGATTACCGACAATTGCTCCAGCTGTTGCTGCACCATGCACAGATCGTCTAGTGGATCATCCAAATTGTCACGCACAATTACAGGAACAGCATCCAGGCGCGAGTCAATATACGCCTTGATAACCTCCGGGGTGTAAGTACCTAGCAAATGCGGATCGGGGGACTTTACATATGGTACAGACGCAACCATACGTTGCCAAAGAGTGAGTAAGTAATGTACACTGTTCGGTGCAAACAGCCATACCTAAGGGTAGAGAATGGGGGTAACATTTTACCAGGCCCACAAGATTTTAGTACATACATGAAGGGATTGGACAGTAAACTTAGCTATCAGTTGGATTGCTTCTGCATAACATGGGACCGCTATAAGTTCACCCAATTGATAATTAGACTTAAGGCGAGCCAACAACCGGCAGAACTCGTGATAGTTATCTGGGTCACTCAAGCCCTGTAAGAAAACGTTAGCGAAATTTGTCTGAGATAGCTTTTCTTCGAGTACTTACGTGTAGGGTATTTAAAATGTCTCTAACACCTTCGACCAAGTGCGTTAGAAATTTTGTTCTCTCAGAATTACTAAAAAGAGAGCGACGCACAGATGTCATTTGAACCAGGCAGGATATGGAGTAGCTAGCTAAACCATTGGGCAGAATTTGGTATAAATCAAAAAAAAGTTTAAGTGTGTTCGAATCTAAGAATGCAGGACGCCAAGCTGTGGGTATCTACGTACAAGGTAAATTTAATAGAGAATCCAAATATATTAGATGCTTTTCCATACATACCTGAACGTTGTTCATATCATCCGCGGATTCATCTGTGGAACTGCCAATGAAGTCGAAGCTCAGACAATTTTTCGTCAGACGTAAGACGTGTGATATTAACCTAAAATAACAAAATTAAATAATCATGTAAAATCATTTCCGAGTAGTAATAGTTAAATCCTAATCATGAAGGCACATAAAGGTGCCCTTTCAGTTTTAATAGGATAGCAGTGATGTAGGTCACCTTTTTATACATTAAAACAAATCTTAGTCTGACCTATTGGATAATATTCTACAGCATAGTTAACTCACGCTTTCTGCGACTCGTCCATGAAGTTAATGTTTTTGCTATTATCACGGGCCGTGATCAGCAGAGAGCAGGATAGCAAAAATGTTTCAAACAGTTGCTGGTCCCGATAGGATGTGGCTATTTTGCGATTTTTGGAGAAGGACAAGTGCACGTCCATCTCGACAACTGAGTTCATCTCACAAACCAGTTGTGAAAGAATTTGGACGCCAATAGTGCAGTGCTCAACGGAGCCCTAAAATCGATTAATCATTCGAGTTAGCAATAGTTCTTTAACAACGAAGAATATACGGGATACCTGCAAGAACTTCTTGACATCTTCCAAGAGGTTTTGGAACACCATTTCCTCCTTGAACGAATCGAACCATCCGAACTTTGTGATCTTCGCCAGCAGAGTAACCAAGGCCTGGACCACGAAGTGCTGCAGGTTGGGCACGGTGGCCAGATAGTTAAGGGCATAGCTGCGAATGTCGATCCGCTGCTCCAGACTCAATCCCTGAATGAGTTTGGTGAGTGTGGAGGCGGCCAGCAACTGGGCATAGCTGGAATCGGCTCTGTCCAGCAGCAACTGGCATTTGGGCAGCGCATCCTGGCTGCTTACAAATGTGACTAGGGCTTTTTCCGCCTCGGCACGGATTCTTATGTCTGTGGCTTCGTAGAGTTGCTTGCAAAGCACCTCCAGTTGTTGTATATCCTACAAACGCCATTAATTCTCTTATATTTACATACTCTAAGTCAGCAAGGCGCATTAAATACATACCATAACGATGAACACCGGAATTTCCTTAAAAATAAACTTGTCAATTGTGGAAACAAACAAACAAGTGTGACCAAAACAATCAAATTTGAAATAGTCGCGGTACTCTTGCACTTGTTGAACTGCAGACGCAGAAACGCCTTATTATCACGGTGGCGAATTTTTGGTTGGCAAGGATAAGGGCCAGAAAGGGAAATTTCTCAGGAATTTCTGCTAACTAATAATTTAAAGTTACTGAATTGGGAGAGGCTGTAGGAGCTGTAATGAACTGATGTAGCGTATGTGAACAATGAACAACACTACACGATTTATTTTGACAGGGATACTGGATTATAAAAATGGTTATGCCAGCGTAGAGAATTTTCTAAATCTCATGAATACGCTTTATACGCGTATTTAAGATCCAGTTTAATGACTAAAAAAAATAAAATAGTCATACCACATACATTAATATAATTAATTACATACGTATTTAATTCTTATATAACTATATAACAGCTGGTGTTTCACATATTCAAAAGATGTCATTCATTCCCTTTAGTAGTTCTATGTGAGAGTATTGCATTATGCAAAAACTGCAGAGCTGCAACCATTGAAAACACGTGTTTCACATTCAATAAAAATACCATTCGTTCCCAAACACTCAGCTGTCGAAATATTCCTTTTGGACTTATTAAAATGTTTATTATAACATGGGAATAATAAAGTGGATAATACAATATATACCTTGTTAGAACTAAAACATTTTATCTTAAGAATTCTTGCAATTGTTATCGATAACATTTTATTTCCTTGAACTTAAACAATACAAATTTAGAGAGTCAAAAAAAATGAGAAAGAAAAGAAGTCGAGGGTAAAGTCTAAAAATTTATTCGAATCAAATGAAATCAATAATAAATTAAGTAATGTTTTCCTAAGGAATATGGATCGGGTGAGGTGAACATACTGCCGGTCGCCAGAAGAGTTTCTTCAGTCATCCATAACGCATCTCTGGTCAGCTGATTGCCGATTACAGACATCTGATAGGTGGAAAATGCCAACCAAGTTCGTGCCAAGGCGAAAGCTTTGTTATTCAAAATAAATATAAAGGGCGAGGATCGAAGGTAAGCCGGCTCGGTGGACCAGTAGAGAGTGTCAGGGTTTGTCCGTTATGGAATTCCGAAACCTGTAATCATGAAAGGTTAGAAACTTTTCTTCTTCCGCCTTTAGAAGAGAACTAAAGAAAAAAAAAGGCCTGCCCACGAAAAAAGCTTTTTGAAATTTGATAAACAAATCAATACTGGCCCCTTTAATACTTTATTTCTTTATTTAAATAATCCACTAAGTGGACCACCATTCATAAGTTCATTCTTACGTACAAAACTCAGCATGGTTTTATAGTATTCGTTGTTTTTGACAAAAAATTAAGTAGATGACATTTTGTATACATCAAAAATAAAATGGATATATTACAAATATAAAGATTAAAATATCATACACACACATAATGTTATATGACCTTCATTAATACAGTAGCTTAATGTAAAACAGATTTCATTCAGGGTTCAATAAGCGGTTTTATAATTTTATTTAGTTCGTCAAGTAGTATGCTTTTCTGAAGAGCTGGGTTTTATTGTCCTCACAGACCGAGCGCACAAGCCTTATTCCGTGGCAAGCAGCGAAAAGTTCTCAAAATTCAGCTTACCTTGTATGGACTCATCGTCCAGATCTTCGGTGCTGTTGGTGATACGTGCTGTCGACGAAAGATAACGAATATTAATGAGTTTCAACATGATATAATGTAAATATATACGCACTTCTAGACCCCTTGGTTGAACTCATGCCCATGGAACTTTGTAAGCCCCCATTTCGGCCATACAGAACATTCTCCAAGTAGGGTAGACCATTGTTATTAACAATGTTTAAGCCAAGGCACGTCTCGATTTGCTTCCAGCGATGCAGTCGTTCTTGCAGCTCGTTTGTTACATCTCCGAGTGCATTCCGTGCCTCAACAATGGACCGATCCACATCATCAATACTCTTTCCGTGCGTGGAAACAAACGCACCCACCAAACTTGATCGTTTCTTACGCAACTTCTCACAAGCCTCTCTGGCCGACTGTAGCTGTTTCTCAGCCGATGTGCGCTTCTTCTGATGATTCTTACTTTCTAGTTCATATGTGTATTGGAGCCATGATTGCAGTTGTGGCGGCGGTGACCAGCAGTTGTCCACTAGTTCGAATTCGGCACGAGACAATTCGTTGCGCAACATCTCGATTTCTTTTTTCAACTGCTGAACTTCCAAATCCGAGTTTGATGAACTGAGGGTGGGTGCTTCTTTAAGACGCCGCTCCAAATCTAGTTTTTCTGTTGCCACATTTTCCTGTTCCATTCTGGCTCGTTCTAGTTCCTAAAGCAATGCATTAATTCAACAAGCGATCTATATAAACTTTTATGGTACCAACCTTCTGCATCTCCTGTAGACTTTGCTCAGCCCTCTGCAACCCCTCCATATCCTGGGCCATTCGACGAAGATGACGTTTGGCATTCTTATTTTGCTGGTAGGCGTACCAACATCCAATGATAGCACTAAGCAACAATGTAACCAGTATGTAGTCCTTCCAGCGGGTACCAGTTTCTATTGAATGACATATGTATTTTAATAAGTACTTTATATACTACGTGCAACTATTAGCTTCTTACCTCGCGGTGGTCCAAACAGAACAACATCCATTGCCTTTAGTGAGATTTTTTGTTTGTGTATAGGATCTTTGATTCCAAGTACATTGCCCACATACTGAAGATTATTCACAGCCAATCTAAAACGCCGAATATAATCGGAAAGAATGTGAGGTGCATCAAGTATAATATATTAGATAATTCAACAAATCAAATTTTAAAATTGATTAACTTTTTCCAAACGAATAAGTAGTTCTTCAAAAGAATAAGACACCTAAGGGGAAACATAGGATAGTTTAATTAATACATATAAACTTTGGCTTGCCAAAGATAGCTTCCTTTCTTGGTTTCTACAATTGCCATTTAGTTTTTGAATTTTTGACGCGTATTAAAACAACCTATAGTTATGGATAACGATGCACAACTTATTCATAAATGGGACAAATAAACTCAAAGTCATTAAAATGATGAAAATAATTGAGAACTCAAACTAAAAATGATTTATAGCCTACCTTGGCAAAGCAGCTCCAGTAACCTTGTGTAATTTGAACAGATCAACGTATTGGGGCAGCTGAACGGACTGCGCCAACCAATCAGTGGTCTGTTCGATGGTCCAATTGTGCACCTCCGATCTCAACCAAGCCTCCCAAAGTTCTTTGACCGATATATGCATATCGTCATTGAAGTGAAACGCTTTCTGCCGCTTTTCATAGCCCGAATCGTACTTCAACTCCTCCCGCAAAAACTGGAATAATCCGTTTAGAGATGGGAAAAAATAAAATAAAGGATATGATATGTTGAAAATTTAAAATTAATAATGGAAAATGAAGTAACAAAGGGTGTCCTACATTAAAGGTCAAGCAGAATGAACGATGATATCAAAAATGAACGATATTATACAATATATATCTGTCAATAATGTAAGTTGATTGGTTCATTGATCGTTACTAATTATAATATTCTTATCGAAATTATTATCGAGTAACAAGAAAGGAAGCTTAGTTCGGCAAGCCGAGTTTCATATATTACTGTAATATTTAACTATTTACATATACATTATATTTTTAGTTAACGAATTAAACAAAAAATATATGCAGTCGTTAAAAATGTATAGTCTGTACCAAATATAATAAAATTAAAAATATACTAGTGCTTTAATAATTTAAAAGATAATTTGAAATTACGAATTTTTAGATACATTCTTTGCGAAACAAAAACGCACGCCTCTATCTTCTAATTAGAGTTTTAAAATGTCGATATTCAGCGAATAATGAAATTTCTATATGCTTTCTAGTATCGGGTATAATTTGTGACAGCTTAACGAACTGCGATTTGTAGTCATGGAAAAATGATTCTCATATACTTTGCACTTTCAGTTCAAATGGCTTAATTACATACGTCATCGGACTCGCTCAGATCGATGTTTCCATTATCGTCATCATCCAGCTGGCGATGCAAGCTTGCAATAGCCTCCATGCCAAAGCGATCCTGAACACTTCCACTGTAGCAATCAAAATCATCCGCAGCACACGCTCCATCCGCTGAACCACTTCCCATAGAACCTGTTGAGAGTGCTTCGGTTAACAAAATATACAAAAATGCTATTAAATGTAATCCACAGAAGGCTATTTAAACTAAAACATAATAATACATACTGTTAAAACCCGTTCTTCAGATGATAGCTAGCACAAGCGTGTTATAACAGAAAAAATAATAACGAAAAGGTAACTTTGGCGAGCCAAAGTTCAAGTACCGATGCAGTTAAAAATGAAAAAGTGCAGGTTGTTATAATCGTCCGATTTTCCCACAATTTGCAATCTTGTCCTAAAATCGGTCTGAAAATTCCCATATAATATAGGCATCGGAAATTATACTATGAAAAATAAATTACTGAACTCCTACAAAACGAATTTACATAGAGTATTGATTTAAGAAAGATAAGAAATATAAATCAAATAAAGCAAATAAGTTATGAAAAAAAAAATGTAATTACTCAAAAAAAAAAAAAAAAAAAAAAACAACGACGTTTTACCAATTTGGCCAGATTGTCCTATAAATAGTCCGATCGTTCATATGGCAGCTATATGAAATAGTCGTCTGATCTCGGCTGTTTCGACCTATATACTACCTGCAATAGAAAGAAGACTATATTTAAAGTTTCAACCAGATGGCTTCAAAATTGAGTTACTGGTTTGCTCAACGACAGACAGACAGACAAACATACGGACATGCTTATATTATATATACTATATCATCTACGTTACAAGATTGGAATACTCTTCGCGGCGTTGCAAGCGTCTGACCAAATTGATAAGGACCCGCTGCTAGGGTATATCAAGTTAAGTGATTATAAATAGCTCTAAATATCCTTAAACATGCTTTAAATCTACCTCATAGGCGAAGAAATAGCTAACAAATTGGATGCTCTTCTTAACTTGCAAACTTAAGCTAATGCATTGACTCAGCACATGCTATTAATGACTTGTTTTGGCAGATCCGATTAGAATGTGCTTTGCTGCGTGCACAACTTACTAAATTCATTGCTGACAGCCTGGGACATGGCCTCGCTCAGAAGATTATATGAGCTCCTGTGCAGATTTTGCGCCAGATGAGTGGAGTGCTCTCCGCCGCTTCCGGCGTGCGATGCGGCGATATGGGTGACATGTTCCGATTGGGAATTGTGTAAACTCTGACCAGATTCGTGAGATGAGTGACGTGAGGCAACATTGGGATTTTGCTTATACTGATGCTGTGTGTTGTATCGATTCGAATCGACGGATACTGTGTGCGGGCCATGATCTAGCGTACTTATGCTTTTCAGCACACAGCATAAGAATATGAAAGAGTAGTTCCAAATGGTATTCTTTCGCATGGTTAGATTTGTGTGCGGACTTCTTCAATACAAATTATCGCATACGTCTCCTTAAAATCAGTAAATCGGTTCGGTATTCTTTTAAGTTTACAGATCACATTTGTTGGTCGTGAAAGTCATAGTTTTCAACTGATGATATCCTGCAATGAAACAGAGGTCAGAAATGTGGAAGATCTTAACATAGAAACTAAGTAATAGGAGTGAGTAATATACGAACAATAAGCTATTTCTGCCCTGTGAAGTATGTGTGTATATGTACATATGCCTAATTAGCGTGAAGTTTCGAGAGTAAATATGGTACTTAGCGATGTTAAGGATTCTCTACAAGATAACGAGCTTGTTACTGTTCTATATCAATCTTCTTTAATGATTCTTTAGAACTAGAAACCTTTTTCTCGACTTTATAATACATATTCCTATTCTATAAGATTCCATAGTGACCGAGGCATATAGTACGTAAAGAAAATTGATTAAATAATCAAGCAAATCCAACTGTGTGCGAAAGTATTATTGCATTCGCCAATAAATAAAGATTTACTGGGCACAGACTTACGAGGTTGTTATTTGTCGATGAGATTCAGTTTTAGGGGTCTTAAAAGATAACCGCTGAGAAATGCAAATATTAGAAAAACGGCGTGAGTAATAAAATGGACGCATTTGTTGGTTCGTCGAGATAAAATTATTTTTTGGGAAGTTCTTTAAAATTTGTATTTCCGTTTTTGTTACCAAGTGTAAGTTTAGTTGTGGATGCTGTAGAAAACATTTTCGACAGCTAACTAGACTTATACTATGATTCTGTTCTATCATATCGTACTAATATGCGTTTTATATCCGTGTAATCACAATACATTGCGGACGGATAGTTTTTGATCTCTAATTTGAAACAAATAAATGCGTAAAACACAATTAATTCGTACAGATATCGTTACAGACAGACATAACGGTATATCTACATGGCAGCAACAAATGGATTCAAAATCATAGGTAAATCATAGGCAAAGCTTACTGTGTAACTGTTTTCTTTTTTTAATATTTTTTAATATTAGACATTGATACTATATACGAATGTAGATATGTAAGTTGTGGAAGGCATCAGCATTTGTTTACTTCGCAAAACGCAGAAAACTGGGAATTTTATAATGTCGGATTCGGCTGCGTTATGACTGCACAATTTACAATGTCAAAGCCAAGCACTTAATAACCACACATATGTGGATGCCCAGTGGTAAACTTCCATAAGTTTTTTTTAGACCTCAATTAAAAATAAAAGCACTCACACTAAAATTCCCGAGTCAGTTTGGGTTGAACGATGTGACCAGTCGACTGAATGGTAAATATACACACTTCACATTTAGGCTACAAACACTTTTCATGTTAGAGCTATTGCAAAATATGTTCAAGTTTTGTGTACAACAAAATCTATCAGAAATAGATAATGGGAAAAATATAACAATATAGAATAGCCAAATATTTATTTCAAAAGTATCTGCTAACACACTGTTTCCACTATTCCGGGCATTTCTATAATTATCGATAATTCTGCAAAAACCACCTTTTAGGGCCTTATCTCAAAAATATTTAGTTTTTACATTCTGATAACTAACCTGTTTTCGTTTACCTTATTCGCATATTAAGCTCAATGGGATTGCACGCAACTGCATTCCCTTAGTGGAGATAAGAGCGGAACGACTGGGAACGATTATTTGCGTCATATGAAACCTGGACTTCCATGGACACAATCAAAATGCATATGTAGTTATTTCTCCAGGAGACAATTTAGCTTATTAATTTCAATCAATTGAATGAATTTGGTATATGAAAAATTGACAACATACTAAATTAATAAAAGAGCATATGTACAGTAGGCAATAACCATTTACTCAGGAACGCGTTTATGAAACACTTAGAGGTGCCAGCAATATGCCTAACGCGTAGTTTAAATAACAATTGATTGCTACAGAAGCTGGCAGCGCGAAAGACAATATTAAGTTTATAATTTAAATGTAGTTTGAAAGCAGCGGTCAAAAAGGCAGTAGCATTAGACGTAAGCCGATTTGGCATTTGAGTTTGGTGTTTATTTGTTAAAAGTATGTCAATAACATCAATCGTACACCCGTAAAGGAAATAAAAACGCGCGCACGCAGCATTTCTGGTTAAAATAAACATTAATAAACCATCGAATTGAATGGGACGCACGGCAAACGATGAGAGATTGTGAATAGAGACATTTGTTAATGCCCGAATTGTACATATTCGTGTGTGCTGTGAACGATTTGATGCAAGAATAGTGTGTATTTTTAAAGAAGACTCTGGCGCTGATACATTGATACATAGCTCACGCGCACAGGACATACAGTCCTAACATAAAAATTCTCGTTCGTTTTCACGCCATCGCATCTATTGTGTTACATAGCGGCCAAAAAACGAGAAGTAAAGAGCAAAAAGTAGCGAAGTTTCGATTCCTTTGCAAACAAACAGGTATGTATTCGGATTCGCAGGGATATATACATGTACATAACGCGTACATCCAACTGTTTACATCCTTATTACTAAATATAGAAGTAATTCCAATTGTGCAAATTGCCAGTGGAGGTGTACATATGTATTTATGCAAGCGTTCGTATGTATGTGGGTACATAAAAACATGGCAAGTGAAAATTCGCATGGTTTTCCCTTCAGTTTCGTACTGAGGACATTATTTACTCGCACGATTCTCCAATGTAAATAAGCATATACACCTGTATGTATGCTCGTGCGTTTGTGTGTGTGTATGTACATACAGTGGTCGACTGCTAAAAAGGAAGCAAATAAAAGCCTCGGATTAACGTAACTGTCATGCAAAAAGCATATACAAAATCAAAGAGGGATAATAATAATGCAATTTTTAAACATTAAATTGGCAGAACTCTCATAGTTTGCTAAAATATCATTTATTATAATCCAGTATCAAGTGAAAGATGCAACAGAAACAGTTCATAGAATCGTTTACAAACATTTACTTAATTCGCAATACCGTTTTTTTTTTAAAGGATAATCTATTATAATTTAAATGTTACAAGAAAGATTAGGTCCTATACAAGATGCGCTAGTCTCTTAATTATAGACTTATTTAAGATTTTTACATGATGGTTATAATTTAACCTTGAGCTTACCAACATGTTTCAACACCCATCTTTATTGCAGGATATAAAGGATCTTTAAATGAGCGATAGTTTCGTAGACTCAGGAGCACAGTAAAGGCGCGAACTATATTTGAGTACGATGAGCGGCGCTACCCAGGAATTTTGTGTACGCTGGAACAGCCATTTGGGCAGCATTGGAGCTGCGTTTCCGCAGCTGCTGGCAGGCCAGAGATTCGTGGACGTAACACTCGCCTGCGAGGGACAACAGGTGCACTGTCATCGTCTGGTCCTGGCCGCCTGTTCCACCTACTTTGAGGCGATACTGGCGGAGCACCCTTGCAAGCATCCGGTTATCATACTACCCAGGGAGATCAAGCTATGGGAGATCCAGGCACTCGTGGACTTCATGTACAAGGGAGAGGTCAATGTCACGCAAGCCGGTCTTGGTCAGTTGCTTCGGTGTGCCGAACAACTGCAGATTCGCGGGCTATACGGCTCCGAGGCACCGATAAACTACAAGAAACTCCAGCAAGCGAGTCTGGAGGCTGCCAAGGATCCAGCTGCATCCACACCCCGAAGCTTCAAGCATGTGGACAGCACGGAGACGGACGATGCAGCCACTAATTCTACCACCTCAACGATAACCACCTCATCCGCTCCACCGCTAGCGGCTAACCAGCAGCACCCCACAGTATTGAAGCGCCAGAATTCGGATGTTCGTCAGCAGCAGCAGCAGCAGCAGCAACAGCAGCAGCAGCAGAGACCTCAGATAAATGGCAGTAATGCTCAACAGCCATCTAAGGCCACCTCTGCGAACGTTTTGGGCAGCCACTCAAATGCCCCGACCGAGGACGACTCCGGCGATGAGGTGCCGAACAATTGGAATGCCTACGGTGAGCAATTCGAGGATTGCAATCTATCTGCGCAAGCCGTTGACAACAAAATGAATGTCCACCTATCCCTGCAGCAGGCGAGGTTTGTTATTGGAATAAATTAAAAAGAATCTCGGCATAACTATATCTTTTCTCAGGATACAAATGCAGCTTCAGCAGCAGCAGCAATACTTGGATTCAAATGTTGAGGACGATCACAACTATGTAGCCGCTCATGATGAAAACAATGATAGCAGTTTTGCTGCAGGAGTGCCGTGCGGATCCGGCTTGTCTGTCAGCCTTGACACTGATCTCGATACATCGGCCAATACTTCCGGAGGACTGAGCCATAGCTCGATCGATGGCTATACTTCTTATAAGCGCGTTCGTCGTTCAGAAGCATCTCTAGCACAAGCGGCAAAATGTGTTTCGAAGGGCGAGACATTCCAAACTGTCAGCAATATGTTTAATATTCCTGTCTCAACCATTCGTTTCTATATGGCGCGAAAAGGAATTCTTCCGAAGCGGAAACGTGGACGTGGTGCTTCTCATGCCGGAAACATAATAATCACAACAAACTCAGGAAAACTCTCAACCGTCCCTGCGAGCATAACTCATCCACAAGCCCATCCGCATATTCATCCCAATCCGAATCCCAATTCCAATCCCCTCCCTCACACGCAGTCTCAGCATATGTCCATGGACAGCCTACATCTAAAGGCGGGCATCACAAATACCAGTGGCAGCAATAGTCCCGCAACTGCTACAGCAACGTCTATGTCACCATCATTTGATATGGCCACAACAGGTGATATCGTGCCTTTTCACCTCCATAGCGATGCGGCGGCCTTCAAACTCAACGATCAGAAGCTGCACATGATCTAACCACGCAGTTTGCCAAGCTGTGCTGTACTAGTAGGGCGTGTATTAATAGAGAGGGATTTCCAAGCAGTTGCTGCTTACTTTCATTTCGGGGTACGCATCGGCTTGTGCGGGATCTTTAGTCATAACATAGTCAACAAAATACAATTTCTACTTAGGTTTATTTGATTACGCTTTAAAGTTGCAACAGTTTTATCCTTGGTTGAAAAATACTCACTGTTTAATCATTATTCATTATACATCTTCATTATACTTTAGGAATTATATAAAATACAGTAGATGTATTCTATCAAGGATTATGACTAAAAACTTGCGTAAAAATTTCAAATATGTTTCTTGTCGCCCCAGTACTCTAAGGAATTACTGTATTGTTAATAAGATAAATAAAATCGACCTGGAATCTTTTACTGGGTATTCGTGTGATTGCAAAGATAAGATGACAATTTATAATAAACTCAATGGTCGTAAAAGACATAATCATAATGCTAACAGCTTAAAGTATTGTAATGTAAAGTAATTAATATAGGTCAAATACATGCGATCTATTTTAAACCCATATACTTTTTTTTTACAAGAATTGTAATATTCTTCCAAAATTCGCAAATGTTCATTATAACAATTAATTGGCCATTACTTCAAGAACTTGAAAAACCGTATGATAAGTCGTTGTGAATGTATTATTGAATACATAAGTACTGTGTACGAGAAGATTGGGCAATAAAATTTTAAATGCATTCAAAGGTTTTAGTTTCAATAAGGACTATTAAGAGCGGAGGGAAAATGTTCAATTTGTTTGTTACAAATTTATTTAGCTAATTTTCAAAATTGCAATAAGAGTAGTACAGTGTAAGCGCAGAATGTTCAAGTGGAAACGGGGCTTTTTAGATGATTCTCCGAAAATGTGTGTTTTTTCATGGTGGATGAACGGTCACACTGCAAGGCTGCACTAGATGTAAATATTCGCACACAATTTCAATTCCATTTCAAGAACATGGCTCAAGGAAAACAGCCTGTCGCTGCAGAATTGCCATGCAACGCCTATTTAGACACAAGCCTCCAGAAAGACGAAAATATGCAACACATCCTGAAATCGTTCTACAGTAGCATAGAAGTTCTGGAAGCCGACATGGAGAAGGCACTTGCGCTACAGGCAGAACGCACATTGACCATAAATGAACAAATTAAATTGGATAGTTACCTGGTGTATTTAAACAGCACGTTGTATTGGATATACCTGAAACTGCAAGGTCTAGACGTCTCGAAGGTGAGAGCAATCCAATGCACAGCTTAGATAGTGGCAATTACCATGTGATTCCATTTCAGCATGGTGTGATGCACGATTTGGGTCGTACGAAGGAATTACTTGCCCGCGATAAGGAAATAAACGATGCTCTGGCGGCGCCAAGATTGGATATGCAGGCTGCCAAGCGATTTATCGCAGCAGGAACCCACACTCGATTTGTGGATATGGACGGCGTTATGGTCACCGAGGAACAATATAATAAGAGCATACAGGAAACTACCAAATAACGAAAATCAAATTAAATTGATAGTATAGCGGCCTATTCCCTAAAAAATTCTAGATAATAAAACAATGCCAATCAATAGAATCCATGCCCTTGGTTTGTCGTCACGCTAGACAAATACCCATTTATATTTAAAATTTTATGGAAATGTCCTCACTAAACCGCACAAAAAACATTCGTACCGCTTCAACTCATCACACAAATCAGGTTAGCACAGCCTTATGAAACTGGGTTTGAAAAACAAACGAACATGGCCAGAGTTTATTTATTTTGAGCTAATTAGCAAAAGCAAAAAATACCTAGTTCAATTCGGCTTAAAAATGAATTCTTCAAAAGGGAATCCCTCACTGAATTATGGTTGGAGATGCAGTGGGGGTTGAAGTTGGAGTTGGTGGAGTACCTACTTAAGGATCGGGATGCGGATAAAAGAGACATTCAAAGGCCCTGGGCACTCAAATTAAGACAAAGGGATGTTGTAAAGCTGGAAAATAATTTTAATTCGTACGTTTCATTCTAAATGGCTTAATTTACGGTACAATACGATATTTTACTGATGTTTCAAAACCGATAAATTAACATTAGCATTGTCCTTAACTTTATGTTGATCATATTCATACTTTAACCATACAGATATTAATATTTCCGATTTAATATTTTTCCGCTCTCAATTTATCATGTTTTCTTGAATTATTTTAATTATTTTTATGTATATAGCGTTTTTGTTATTCATTCCATTTTGTTTTTTGTCTTCTTTGGTTTTTTGGTTTTTTGTTTTTAAGATTATTGAACGAGAACTGGCAATATAGCCCAAAATTTTCTATCAGTCGGTGTAAGATTGCCCCAAAAAGGGGGTTTTTTTTAAAGCCCGGGCTGGGCCCAGTGCACAATTGTATTTTTCCTGCCGCTTATCCGTGACCATCGAAATGTTCAAGTTCTCTACACGTCCAGCAAAGGATCGTATAATTTACTAACTAGCATAAATATTAATTTTCATATTTACAGCTGCGTTTTGTGTTTATTTATTTTTGTGTTTTGTTATTATTATTTATTTTTTTATGGTTTTCTGTTTACGGTTTTTGTTTTTTGTTTTTTTTTTGAAAGATTTTCCTACTCGAACGTTGGCATTGCTTGGTCCGAGGTATGCAAAAAATATGTAAATATTTCCCAATTTTTAATTATTTATTTCGCTAATGCTGTTGCTGTTGTGGTTTCGGTTTGGGGTTTGCGGTTTGTTTTTGTTTTTTGGGGTTTTATTTTGCTTTCGGTTTCGTTTGTGTTTCATCATTAAACGTATCATTATACGATTATACTTAATAATTGTCATTAATCTATGAATAAAGTATGGCTATTTATTTACCACTCACACATAAGAATACACATTTTTTGTTGCTTGTTAAGTTTGTTTTTCCATATTCATTTCCATTTTCCATTTCCACCTCGCTTCAATTTCTGTGCTAATTTTTATTTCCTTTGCCTTACTCTGCTCCATTTTACGTTAACTAGTTTGGTTTCTGTCTTCTGTCTTCACATTTACATTTATTTGCTTAACTACTTAGGGCTAAATTCATTTATTTATTTATGTGCTTATACACGAGCAACGTATTGGTAACTATGCTAAAGTAATCATAAAGGTCGATACAAATTTCATTTATTTAGAGAGAAAGCTAGCTGCGCGCTGGCTCCGGGCACATGTGAGTGGAGTGGAGTGGAGTGGAGTGGAGTGGGTTGTTGATCTATGCGCGATTTCGGATGCAGTGTGGACCACCTGGGCCACATGGCCCACATGGCCCACATGGATCGTATGGATCGGATGGACCATGGGGATGATCTCCTCTAACATGTAGATAACAATATCAATGCTTATATTCCGGGTAGCAGCCATTCTCGATGATTTGTTCGGACTGACTGTTGTTGCTGCTGCTGGTATCGCCTGATTGCTGCTGATGATGATGCTGATGCTGATGCGGATGCTGATGCTGCTGATAAATTGGCAGCTGAAGGAGCTGCAATTGCTGCTGATGCTGATGCTGCTGCTGACTTAGTGCCGCCGGGTCTGCTGCTGCTGCTGCTGCCGCCGATTGCAAACCGCGACGAATGGGCGGCTGGATAACACTTCCACTGCTTTCCGTTTCCGTTGAGGGCGGGGATGGATAGTAGTCCCTCTGACTTACACTTATACCATTTGGGACGATTGGCAAAGCCATTATAGAACTGTTGGCCACCGATGTCGCCGCTGCCACTCCCGATCCCGATCCCGATCCCGCTGCCGCTGCGGAGGATTGATGATGATCGCCGTGGTGCTGATGTGGATGCTGCTGCTGATGCGGATGCTGCTGCTGCTGCTGCTGCGCTATAGCCCCCGAAATGGGTCCGACGTCGATGTATGGTTGGGAATCCGACATTGTACCGGATGGCGGCTGGTCCAATACCACGACGGATACCACATCCTCACTCGCCCACCGGGCTAACTGTTGTTGAGCTTGAATAAAGTCATCACTAGAAAATAATAATCGTAGCAGGAACAACGGCACATGGTAAGAAAACAAACGGGGGCCATCGAGGAAGCGGATTGGGATTGGGCTAGATGGATGGATCACAGAGGGATTCCTGTCTGGGTTCTATGAAACAAGCATCTTTCACATGCTGCGCATATTCAATTTGAATTGGGCATCTAATCACATCAATGTAGAACTATCCATTAACTAGAAGGTACAGGCCAATTAAGTTTGGGGAAACCGTTCGTTTGGTATCATCATATGTGGGAATAAATCAAATGCTACAAACTGTTGAGCTGGTAGTAAACGATGCAACAGCAGCAGACCAGCTTAGTTCAAATTGAGGTGGTGAATAGGAACTCCTGGAGTGGAGGCTCTTTTGAGCAGCTTTAATCTATTATATATCATATCATAGCATATCATATCATATAACATCATATATCATATCATATGCTGCTGCATCGTTTGCCAGCTGCTCTCTACATGGTTAGGGTAATGGGTAATGGGCATTGGTAATGGTAATGGTAATGGTAGTGGCCTAGCAATGGCAATGGTAATGGTAATGGAACCAAGAGACAGAAATAGTGGCTCGGACCTACCTCTCGCTATCTGGTGTCTCGTGGCAGTCGAGTCGAGCGTCGACCACCTGGCGCTCGTGGTGGTCAGCGGTCTCGTAGATGCCCTCGTCCTCCTGCTGCAAATGGGTGTGCGATGAGTGATGGGACGAGTGTGGACCGTGCGTGGCATGTCCGTGGGCATGGGAGTGGTGCGTGTGGTGTCCGAATGCGTGGGGTGAGTGCGACTGGTGCGGCGCATGGCGTCCAGAAGATGCCGGCTGTCGGTAGCGTCCACCGCCGAATGTGAATCGGGACTCCTCATCGGAACGGGGACGACAGCTTCTGCTGTAAGACGCATGAATTGTAGCGGTTTTCTGAGATTGTGGTATTTGCTGATTGGAGCTATAGGCGATAAGGATAAGAAAAGGCAAGCAAATATTCAAATTATTTAGTGGCATGGGAGTTTCATGGACATGGAACTTGGGTTATTTTATTTTTTATATATATTTTTTTTGTTTTTTTTTTTTTTGGATTTCAGGTAAGCGAGAGTTGGACTGAGCCTGAAACCGAGACCAAAACAGAGACCGATAGCCATGAGGAACTTAAGAGCAATGTCAACGCATCTGTTACGATGCAAGTTGTTGTTGTTGTTGTTGTTGTAGTTGTTATTGTTATTGTAGTTGTTGTTTAAAAAGATGTGCAAGTGATTACGTAATAGTAAATAGGAAAACGATGTGAAGTCAAGACCCTTAAGAAATAAGACCACAAGAGCAAGATGGTAGTAAGTTACATATGTAAGTGAGTTAGTTAGAGGGGCAACCAACCTTTATCACACAAGGTATTCCAGCCTGAAGCCTGCAAGAAATGCGAATATAAATTGGCATTGGCTTGAATTACATTTTAATATACTGCAGTACAAACAAGCAGTGGCTTTCATGCCTTAATGGTAGGTAGGTCGGTAGTTTTCGGTTTTAAAGTAACATCATGAGTTGTTTGTATATGCTTTTTGATGAGTATGAGGCTTTAGTCTTCGTTAGTTGTTTGTATGAACATGTGAGATACTCTCAAGCCATCGAATATATATTGGGTTATTAATCACTTGCTCTACGATTTAGTTTAGTAGTGGGTAAATTGAAAATTTTGGTATCACATAGATTGACTATTGGAAAATTAAAACGCGTTGACTATTAAGAATACGGTTGGTTAATGGGAAGCAACTGTTCACTGCCTACGTTCAATACCATGTTACAAAGCGCAATACAGATAGTAGGTGTTAAAAACATCTAAGAAATTATGAATTATATATTCATAGTCATATTCAGTTAGTCATTTATATGTTGAAGTGTGTTTAAAGCGAATGTGCGATTTCTCGATTAGTTCGATTATTTCGATTAGTTCAATTAGTTCAATTAGTTCGATTATTCGATCGATTATTTTACGTGGACAAGACAAGACGAGACAAGACAATGCGATACAAGACAGGACGAGACAGAACAGAACAGAAGAGAACAGGACAGGACAGGCTTTTCGGGTGTCTGACTGACTCGGTGCCAATACTTAAAGAGGTTTACGGTGATTAAGTTCTGAAGCAGAAAATAACACTAACCCTTGAGATGACTCACTACAAGCTGCGGAACTTTCTAATCTATAGTGTCGATCGGCCTCTGTTTCCGACATTCGTATATCCTCGGATCCGCTGGGACTCATGTGACGGGACGAGTGGTGCTCTAGCTGCCTGATCAGGTCCTCCAGATTGCGTATACGCAGCGGTCCCGTCGACGGTGCATCATCGTCATCCAGCTGCTGCGGCTGCAGCGCCACCGTCGACGGCTGATGCAGCTGGTGCTGCGATCGATGGTGATGGAGCATGGTGCCGCCATGGCCCGGCATGCCACCCGACATGGACGTCGATCCGCCGCCGGCTCCCACGCTCGAGCCCAGTCCCATGCCGCCGAGTCCGCCGCCGCTGCCATCGAGGATGATCGCATGGACGGCGGCATTGTCGCAGATGTTCTCCCGCGAACTGGACTTGGATCCAATGTTACGCTTGTACTGCTCCGCCGAGTAGCCCAGCTGGGAGTTGTTGCAGTCCTGCAGGGTCTTGCGCAGCATCTCCTCGCTCAGGCTGCCGCTGCCGACAGGCGTGTTTCCGGTTCCGGTTCCCCGGTGCGTGGCCGCATTCCGCAGCGCCTCCAAGATGTCTTCATGATACCCATTGAGGGATTTCAGCGTGCGCTCCACCTCGGAGGCAGCCGCTCCGCCGCTTGTCGACGCCAGGGTGCCGTCTTGGGTTATAAGCTCGAGATTATCGGACTGATTGTCATCGCCCCATTTGTCTTTTAGCTGCTCACCGTGCACCAAACCGTAGCCGTGCTTCTTTAATATACCCTTCTCTGTGGCAGCCAATAATAATGCATTAGGTTTGACGTTAGTATTTAGTTCCAATGTGCATGTAAAGGGAATATAGTACAAATTTTTCAGGTAGAGAATAGGCGCGTGACTGCAAAACAGCGATTATAGTGGGGGTGTCTTATGTACATATGTACGTATACTTAATTTGCACAAGAAAGGTGTACCTACACATGTACATATGTAGTTATTCACTTGAACTCTGGTAGCTTGGCTAATTTGATATGCAATTTCCATACAGCAATTCGTTTCTACTTGTGAATAGTCTTTGTCCCTTGCAAAAAGATTCCTGATTCTTGGTCAACTGTGTGTGTGCGTGTGTTCGTTGTATTAAACCCTATTTAGTTTATATATTACTGATCATCATTACCATGCGAGTCGATGCAAAGTTACATTAAAATAGGTCAAATATGCTTCTGGTATCTAATTTTCAGAATTGAAACAGAGGTAAACAAAAGCATTGATCAAATACTACAAGTTTTCTTCAAAAATATAGTTTTAAAATTTGTTTAAAAAAACAAACAGTGATATAAACATTTATAATTTTAACTCTACCATACTTTGTTGCCTAGTTTTCGGCGTTTATACGGACGGACAGACAGTTTTATACGGACGGACAAAGAAGGGTCGGAAAAGTTATTAGGTAGTTCGTACCTATTCCATACAGTAATATTTAAAAAGTAATTCATGAACATAAAGTTTTGATGGACTGCGTTCCGTTGATACCAAAAAAACAAAATGTAAATAAATAAAATACCCTTGGAAGGATGTTAAAGTTAACTAATTATATCTTTATTAACATAAATATCAAAACAGTTTATTAAAATGCCAACAAAAAATATGTAGACAATGCTTTTCAGCCCTTTTTAGGTAATTTCAACAAGATATTTAACCAGATCGACTTGGATGTTGATTCTGATCCAATATATAAATACAATAGGGTCGGAAGCGTTTATTAACCCCTTTAACAAGGATTGTATAGATTAATCTTATGTTCCACAAGTTAATAAAATTAGTTTAAGATTGTTAAGGAAACCCACAAAAAGTTTGCTCATTTTTTCAGAAAAGCTCCGACAAAAACAAAGATGAAAACTCGGGTCGCTTAAAAAGGGCATAATAAGCTTGTTGGGGGAGTGTACGTATGTATAGATAAACAACATATATGTTTGCTGAAAATAAACTTATGATTGCTATTGAGTAGAGTATTAATGTCAAACAGTAACTGCAATAATAGAAGCTCTGAAGAGTACAAGCAGTAAACGATAATCAAGAGTTATTCTATTCAAATTTAGCTCGTTAACATGGAAGGCATCTAAACTGTTAAGCGGGAAACATAGGAACACAAATTATTGCAAACCGTTTTTCCATTAATATACGATTACTTAGTTTTTAGGGGGAAATTCCCGTTCACTGTATTGCAAAAAACTAATTGTATCCCTAATTTTCGTGAATACGTGTAAGAAATGTTGCTTTGATACCTAATGTGTCCCCTAGATAATTATCTAAATTTAGAATATTGGTTTTTGAAAATGGAAACTTTTTGAGGCCATAGAACGAGAACCTCCCCTAAAATACAATTACAAATTCATAATCAGGGATCTCACTGAAATCTCAAGAGAAATAGAAAACCTCTTAAAAATCCGTTGGTGTTTCAGATCTCTGATTGCAGGTACATTTTCGATATTTAAAATATTTAAAATTTACAAAATATTTAAAAGGCAAAAATATGTTTTTAGCTAGAAAACATATCAAGCATTGAAAGTAAATATGATATTTTCGATTTCTGTGACACCGTTTTGGGACTTTTAGTCGAAATTCGAATCTACGAGGTTTCGGTGACACCCCTTAGCCACTTTGTTTGTAAATCTAATCTAAGCACAAGATATTTAATAATTGTAAACATAATGTATTAACCTGCATGTGACTGGTCGTCCTCGCCACATGTCGTGTAGCGTCGTCCATGGATTCCCTTGTCCCTGTGAAAGATTATAATGAAATAGGCGCAAATCGTGGTCGGTGGGAAAAGGGGAACCGAACTACTTGTAGTGGTGGTAAACGATGAATCAGCCAGCAGCTTCTACTTTTTCCGCATAGCATTCCAAATAGTTTAATCACATCGAAATTGCTGATGGAACGTTTACCTTTATACCACCACAAATGCGAAGATCCTAACCCAATGATCTAGACTGGCAATAAACGATGAATAAGCAGGCATGTTTTTCTTTCGTTGCTTTTCGTTTGCAAATAGGTTCGATAGTATTATCGCATTGAAATGAAATGCTGGTGCATTGTTCACTAATTCAAAGGCCTTGTAAACGATGAATCAGCATGCATGCTTCGGTATATTTTGCCTCGTTGCCGATGCATCGTGTATTACCGCACCATCATGGATTATAAAATATGATGGCTGTAAACGAGTAATCAGCTGGTTATCATGGCCAAGTGACTGCTGCATCGTTTACAGCCGAATCGTGCTTTGTTCTCGAGGATACCCACCTGAAGCCGGTCTGATTGGCATAGACTAACTTGCTGGATCCGTCCAAGGAGACCTCTTCCACGGAGTGATGGTTGGGTGCCGTCGCCGCTCCACCGTAGCTCTTGGCAATTGGTTTCTTCGAATAGGGCGGGTCGTACTTCAGCGTAGTGGTCTTTCGCCTATGTGGCCATCGGGGGTACCCACATTCACGGTGTAGTTGTTGTCGTTGTAGGTGTTTATTTATTTATATGCGTTATATATATTATAGATTTTGCATACACTCCAATGTATATAGTATGTGTAATAATTTTAAAGCGTAAGGTTATGCGTGTTTTACAGATATATGAAGTCAGTTATCGCATTTATTTTATTGAATTATGCAGCAAAATTAATTTTACGTCAAAGTGTTTTGTAATTATGGGGCAGGATGGGTAAATCGTTGGTTTGTATATGTTTTTTGGTTTTGGTTTTGTTTTTGGTTTGGTTTTGGGTTTGGTTTGGTTTTTGGTTCAGTTTTGGTTCGGTTAGTAAATAAATAAACAATGTTTATGGTTTATTTGAAGAGTACGAGGTAAATACGTGCATACATACACACGCATGCACCCGATTTTGTTTATTTTGATTTTTATTTAATTATATTTGCATAAATAGTTGCGTGTGCATGCGTGTGTATTTAATGGCCCGTTGAAATATGTTTCGATTGCAGAAGGATTTTATTATGGATTTCGTTTTTGATTTGATCAATACCGATTTGAATAGGTTTAATTTGGTTTTTGTTGATTTTGTTTTGTTGGATCATTATATTGATGTTGTTGTTGATTGTTGTTTGGAAACGAAATGTTGCAATGAGAGTCTTAATTAATCAAATGCTTACAGATTTTGAATAAACATTTTGGGTTGAATATAAAGATTCTTGTTATGATTTGTATATATGTTTTGTAAAAATGAACACACAGTTATACGCCTGGTCTTTCAAAATATATTTACACCCAAACATGCATATTTTTTAGAGGATCATAAAAAGGATGAAAAAACTACATGGCTTCAGTAAACCGAAGACCAAATGCCTTTGCAGTCGTTAATATTTATTAAAAATATCAGTCTTTTAGATTTCTCTAATACATTTAGTAAAACATTTAGGACATTCACATTAAACTGACAGACTTATACAGACTTTTACTCTAAATTTACTATGCAGTTAGCAAAAATATCATTTTCAGGGCAAAGGCACTTATATATAAAAAGGCACTGATATATATATATAAACTTGAAAGGCATTCAAAACTATACATAAAGTAAAATCCACTTCAAGTTGATATAAAAAGGCATTAAAGCGTGGGAGTTCTTAATTCATTTTGTTTTGTAAATAATACAAAAATAATAGGTTGAACATATACAATTGGACGAAGAAATTCAAGAATATCGAGGAAAATAAGGAGAGCAAATTAGTAGATGTCTCACATGCGGAATCAGGTATATGGATAAAGAAACTAATCCCGAAAATTTAACGAAAAGGCACATGCAACTACGCGCAGTGCGACTCAAACTGGAAGTGAAGGTCGAAGGAAGGAAATAATTTCGATTTCAAATGTAAATAAATGTAATTGAAATTCAAATGTATTTGATTTGTTCATGTACTGAAAAGCCACCGCCGTTCTTCGCACGGCAAGTTCTCAAAACATACATTCTCAGCGGATGTGTTTCAATTAGTTGTGCATGCACGAGAAGTTTAAATGTTCGAAATGTTTAACCGGGAATGATCGGTAGCGATTACTGATTACTATGTCGTTATTTTGTACTTTGGGTGTTTCCAATTTCAATGCATTGCGACAGTAGTAAGATATGGGTGTATTCGGATTCCATATCAGTTTTGGGGTCGGCCACAGTATCTGATGTATCTGTATCTGTATCTGTATCTGTATCTGTATCTGTATCTGTATCTGTATCTGTATCTGTATCTGTATCTGTATCTGTATCTGTATCTGTATCTGTATCTGTATCTGTATCTGTATCTGTATCTGTATCTGTATCTGTATCTGTATCTGTATCTGTATCTGTATCTGTATCTGTATCTGTATCTGTATCTGTATCTGTATCTGTATCTGTATCTGTATCTGTATCTGTATCTGTATCTGTATCTGTATCTGTATCTGTATCTGTATCTGTATCTGTATCTGTATCTGTATCTGTATCTGTATCTGTATCTGTATCTGTATCTGTATCTGTATCTGTATCTGTATCTGTATCTGTATCTGTATCTGTATCTGTATCTGTATCTGTATCTGTATCTGTATCTGTATCTGTATCTGTATCTGTATCTGTATCTGTATCTGTATCTGTATCTGTATCTGTATCTGTATCTGTATCTGTATCTGTATCTGTATCTGTATCTGTATCTGTATCTGTATCTGTATCTGTATCTGTATCTGTATCTGTATCTGTATCTGTATCTGTATCTGTATCTGTATCTGTATCTGTATCTGTATCTGTATCTGTATCTGTATCTGTATCTGTATCTGTATCTGTATCTGTATCTGTATCTGTATCTGTATCTGTATCTGTATCTGTATCTGTATCTGTATCTGTATCTGTATCTGTATCTGTATCTGTATCTGTATCTGTATCTGTATCTGTATCTGTATCTGTATCTGTATCTGTATCTGTATCTGTATCTGTATCTGTATCTGTATCTGTATCTGTATCTATATCTGTACATGTACCTGTATCTGTATCTGTGATTAATCTGTGTCTGTGCGTGTTGTTTTTGATCCCAATGTTGATACCATATTACACAAACAAAACATAAATGCTTTATGTGTGTACATTGTATTCGTATTCGCTTTCATAAAGGCGGCTCTTCGGAACACAGCAGGCTTACTCTGCAGAAAGCACCACCATAGCTCAAAGTCAGTTTCATCTATGTTGGGCCCTAAGCGCAAAGAGAAGTCAAGATATCGATCGTCTTCGATCGCAAGCCATATATGTAGCTTGGTTATATGTATGTACGTTCCCATATAACTGGAGGATATATGGGCAAAGGTCATGGATGTATATTGTATATATCTACTCTTGGCTTTGGGCTGCAAGTTAGCGGGGGGCTATGCGAATACATATTCACATACTCAGTAGTGTTTGGGTTCGGGTCTACGTGAGTTACTATCAAGTTATCTAAATCGACAGAGCACACCGCACGAATGGTGGATATGCCCCATGTATCGGGTTCGGATTTGGATACGGATCGGTTACGGATTCTGATTCTGATACGGGTTCGGTATCGGTTTCGTACTGCAGGTATGTTTAATGGTGGTGGCAGAAACAACAGCATTATTTTTCTTGTTGATTATACATATATGGATATAGTTTGGCATGATTATAGTGCTGGACAGACTAAACTGAACAAAAGTAGTAATGAAAAACGTCAACGAGATCACCGCCGTACTGACGACAACGATAACATACACAAATGGCAATCCTTTGTATAGCCGCTTTCAAATTGTGTGCTATTGACTCAAAAACTATAAGAATTTAAAGCCAGAATCGGTGACTAACTAAAAGGTATAATTAATGAAACATGTTAGATAAAAATATGAAACCAATATCGTAACTACTTAATTGGTTAATGTATCTAATCCTTATTCAGTCTTTTCCATATTTCGTTGAACAAAAATATGAACTCAAAAGTAGGAGTCACCTATTTATTGTAACCAATCTTCGTACTTTTTTTTAGTAAGTATTTTTGAGGTTTCTTTTAAACTCATTAGAACCAACCTAATCTTAATTGTCCTTATTACGAATTACATTATATGTACATCTTTAAATTTTAATGTAGTCAGTAGGAGTGAGATTCCTGAGGAAACCTGATAATATCTAAGGATTTTGGATTTATTTTTTTCAAATCGGACACTTTTTAAAAACGAAAATAAATATTCTTCTTAAATGTACACCAACAGTAGCAATAAATCGTTATTATATTAGGCCGATTTGTATCACTATAATCCTCAAAAAATATTTTACTATTGTAATCGCCTTAGAACCACATAATTGTTTTGTTATTCAAAAATGTTTTCTTTCAAATTACTTTTAAGGAAGGAGATTTCTTGCAGGACTTTTGATCTAGAGTCTGCCACAAGGAATATTTCTAAAATTTGGAAAAATGTTTGTATGAGTGTAAGAATCAAAGATATAGCAAGATGTATACAGATGTGCAAGTGTGAGGTAGGCAGTTGAGTACGCAGATTTTTGAGCAAGAGTAAATAAATTATTTCTTGTACGAGTATCTTGGGGACAGAACACGGACCAATTTACTGAAATACAATCAATAAAATATTCAAGTAAATCCAGCGTACGCTACTGATAATAGAATTCAGATATTACATGGTGGAAGAAAGTACGTTTTGGGAGTTTTTTTTTTTTTTGATTATGAAGCTTAACAAAAATGAACAATGACAATGGTTTAAATGCAACGACACAGACAAATTTATCAAAATGCGAAACAAAATAAACAAATTTACTAAAGTTTTTCATATTTGCATTTGCAAGTGTTTCATTTTTTTTTTTTGAAGTTTTAAAAAATATATTTTTATGTTACTTTTTTTGCTTGTTCTTTTTGTGGTTGTAATTTGTATTTGTATTTAAAGCTGGCTTTTTCATTACTTCTTTTCAACTAACCTTAGACACAGGGAGAAGTTTCTATGTACTACAACTGACCTGTAGCACAATGCCATCAAGGTGAATGTTATAAAAACGAACCCTACAACTGACATTAGAACACCGACTAGGAACACTGTATTTGAGCCGTGGTAGTTCTCTATACGAGGAATTTTCAGCCAAGTTTTTCGTTATGTGCCCCATTGTATTTCATTTGTGTGTGCAGTTTCGTTCGAGTGTTTCGTATAATGGAGTAATACATTTCAATTCGATCATTTGATTTCATTTGATTTGATTTAATTTCATTTCATTTGATTTCACATCATTTTATATTATTGTATGATACCATTTTTAGTTGGGTTGCGTTGCGATAGCGCCAGGTGAATATCGAATTGATCGAGGACGATATCGTTATCGTAGTTATCGTAGTTATTCGTTTCATTATTGCAGTTGGGTTGTGAGTCAGCCGAAAAAACAAGGAAATACAAAGTTTTGTTGCATTTGGGGGGAAATAAGATATAATAGGCATCTCACTTATTCTTTTGGGAATTTTGATTTGCTTCTTCTTTTCGTACCGATTTTATAGTTCAATTTATTTTCACTTAACTATTATGAAATACATAAAACATAAACCTATAACAACGACAACATGCATACGTTGTAGTATGTGTTCTCATTGAGAAATATTATTTTGGATTGCCAAAGTTATTGAAATGGCCAAAAACGGATAGACGATTCTCACAATTGCTTAAAAGTAAATTTAATGTTTTGCTTTTTGTTCAGCTTTCTATGACAATGGTAATCGATTTGTGCTAATTACCACTAATAACGAACATTTCACATTTAATTTATATACGATATTTTCGTTAACAAGTATTAAGTATAAGATTCGAAACTGGTTCGCGTAGGAGGAGAATAGTATCAAGCAGAGGAAAGCAGTAAACTACTTAATTATACTTTACTTTTTGATAAAGACTTTTAGGAAAGTTGATTTTCTTCCCATAAAAGTTCTTGTTGATTATTTAACGAACGATTTAACGATTTCTAGAAATTATCGATTTAAATACCAAATCAATTTTTGTTTTAACGGAAGAAGATAACGTTGAAAAAGCAAGCAGTGCTTGGTTTTTATACCCTCGCCGCTTTAGAAACTACTTTAGTCTAAACATAGATTGATTGAGATTCTCTTCGATTTTAAAATACGATTTTGATTCATTTTCAATTATTTTCCAGAGTTTCGTGCATTAAAATTATAGGTTTATAAAAAATTCGAATGCGTAGCATAGTAAAGAAGTTTAATTTCACACAAACAGGGTATGTAGATATGCCTGACTTTTTCTTTTGGAATTTTGGCTCACCGTTTTGGCATTTTCACGTCCTTAAATATTAAAGTTTATTAATTTTCCCATTCTGACATCGTGTGCGTAAGTCGATAAATGATGGCTGATTAATGTGTTCTGGTGAGTGTGCCTACGAGAGGTGTGAGTAAAAATCAGAATCTAAAAAATATGACCTGACAAATCATCTTGTTTAATTAGCAACTGAATTTTGTCAAGTAAATTCATAAAGAATAATTTTTTTTTTCAATTTATTTCGAATGGCTTGCTGTGTTTTTCATTTTATGTTGGCGGATATGTTCTTATATGCATACTGTCATAAATAATACATAAACCATAATGGAATTAGGATCCCAAATTATACGAACAAAAATATTGATATTAGACATTTTTTAGATTACGACGACAAATTACAAGCACGAACAATTTCGAAACTTATAAAAGCACTACGAATATTTTACACACAGCAATTAAATCCAAAGGGCAGTCAAAAAGTAAAATATTTGATGTTGGCATGTGAGTGTACATATGTATGTAGTAACTCCAAGTTAAAATATAAGATAGGATGTGGCAAAGATTTATGTACAGCACTTCATGAGCACGAAAAGAAGGAGTACCCTTATCGGAACTTCAAAAACAGAGGCCTGTTCCGTCAGTGTTGAAAAGGAATTTGAACAATGTATATTTTTAATGGCCACCTCATTGAATTCTTAGTGAAAGTGAAAGTGTTGGAAAAGGTCAAAAAGTTGACTTTTACAACTCTTGTGAAAATGTTTGAAGAAACAGGCCATACCATACAAATTTTTTAAACTTTAAAATATACATTTTCCCGAAAATAATTAGGAACTTATTATCCAGTTGGGGAAAACATATTTCTCAAAGTTCACAGTTTCAGTTCAAAAATATTTCAGACTTTACAAATGGTAAGCTTGAGGTTAAAGATCGAAAAAAGTGTTAGCATGTAAAGTGTGTGTGTATTCTTTTGTGTGGTGATTGTATGTGTTGCTAAATTCATAAGAGGAAGAGCTTGACGTGCTCGGTACTCTACCTGTAGCAAACGGCCAGTGTTGCAAAACTAATGAAGACACATTTGACGATAACTGTTAAAATGATGACCATGGTTAATGTGCTGATCCTATTTTGGTCAGAGGTGCCTGCAAATGGTGGTTGCGTTTTATTTTCAATCAAAGTATATAAATATGTATGCGCCATGTTTCGTATTGCCGCTTTAAATAACATTATAACATTTTCCGAAAGTAAAAACTAAGAAATAAGTGATTATTTCCGTTCGCGTTTGAAAGCATTTGAAAGTCCTGAAAGAAGGATTTTTAGAGATACGCGCTACTCATATAGAGATATTGGTACAAGATTGCATTTAAATGTAAGCCAGTGAGTAGAAGGTATCTCATATTAGGGAAATTAGAATCAATTGGAAGACTTCACGACTTTAAAGATAATGTCTAGGAGGTAATTGAGTATACATATATGTATGTATATAGATATCCTTGGCTTGAACTTTTTGTGCTACTGCGAGAGTATAAAAGCAAAGCTCTTTTCAAAGTTACCTCGCGTTGGAATGAAGGCAAAAAAGTTTACAAAAAAGGTTACGAAAACAATATCTAGTACTTGAGGTTGAAAATGCATCGAAAACACGGAAAAAAACTTAACAGGATAAGTAATAAAGAAACAAATTTAAATAATTCCCAAACTTCAGTGTGATTTAATGGAGCGTTTCAAATAAATTATTTTAACGTGTCCTAACCTACAGTTCTTCTTTTTCAAATTAGTTTTAGTTATTTTTAAAACGACAAATCACCGACCTGACGACTACCATTGTCATACAAGTAACAAAACTGAATTGCACCCAATTATTCAATTGTGAGTTGCCAGCGTCATTAAACCAGGCGATACTGACCTTGTTCAACAACACATAGTTGGATGGTATTAAAAGAAAAGAGCCCTGCTTGAATCGGAATGATCGCAATAGGATAGTGCCGAATGCTTTATCACAACACAAGGTAGTTCGTAGCTCAGGCCTTACGGCAGCTGATTCAAGCAGAGCTCTAGTACTGAGGATCTTAGGATAGAGTAGTTTGGATTCGATTAGACCAGCTCCATTCGATATGGATTTCAACAAATTCGTATAGCTCATTTGTTCAGAAGTCTTTTCCAGCTGGCGCAAGGTGAGATACAAGCATCTGAAGCTGAACTCGACACCACAGTCACTTCTTACCATATGGGGTTTCTTTCTTCTCCATCTTGATGGTGTTTTCCGGCGTGGGCAGTGCTTCGGTTGGCAGTGCTGTTGTGAGCAGCACGACAGAGCTGCAGTCGTTGCCGCCCCATCCCATGTCGCAAAAACAGCGGTTCGTATTGGTGCAGACCTGGAATGCGGAGATAACAAGCAAAGTGTGGTCGGGGTAATATCACGCATCACATATCACACGGTATAGGAGGGTATGCTATCCCTCTGCACATGCCTGTCATGCATGCGCCCAATATGGAGACTACATGTTTGCGGTGGAGCAGGTAGAGTAGATAGAGTAGATGTCACTATTTGTGGACTTACGCCGTGTTCTGAGCACTCTTGGCCCTGTGAATTGGCTGGGCACTTGGTCTGATCCACGTGGGGGAAGAGACTGACACACGTCTGGTTGAGGCAAATTAGATTATCACCGCACGGAGTTCCGTCCTTGACCAGGCCGTGCTCCGGATAGCTGTTGGAACCCACTTGCCCGCTGGTCGCCCTGCGAATATACTCAAACGATTGTGAGACTATCTCTATGCGGACATCACCTGCCCTCCTCCAGCCGCCTGGCCAGTTGCTACGCACTTGCATTCGAACTCCTGACCCTTGATCGAAATGATTGTTCTCGAGTAGAGCTGGTCGATGCCATCGTTCACTGGCTGCCGTTCCCCATCCTTGCACTGCAGGGTTCCGCACTGGACGTTCCTGTGGATTAGGTGGGAATGGTTTTCAATAACTATCACTAGCGCCATAATCGAAGGCAGGGCTTCCTCTATAATTGTCTGTAGAATGCTGTGCACTTACTCTGGTTCGCACTTAATGTAATGTTCATTGGCATCCCGACCGCAATGCCCGTTGATTGAGCCTTTAGAATTGAATTGTTCATAGCACTGACGATCCGCAGCAGAGCCGCCATAGCCCCAAATGGCTTCGCATTGCAAACTCAGCGTGGGGCAATATCCTTGAAAACAGTAGCCTAGAGAGAAAATTTATATAGGAATATATACCATGTATATACTAATATATGTATAGCACTCTAACCTGAGATGCCAGTCTTGCTCAGTCCGCATGGAGAGCCGTTCTTCTTGAAGACATCCGAGGGACATTGACCAATCTCGCCATCGCAGTACTCGGGCAGATCGCACTCGTTATTGGAGTCACGGCAAATGTAGTCCTTTGGCCGCAACTGAAATGGGTGCATATATGTATAGCGTTGGGAATGCTTTCAAATGGGAGTAGCGACAAGCGACAACTTACGCGACACTGGTCACAACAGGCACCACTGGCACACTGGGCCTCCGACTTCAACTTGCACGTTATGCCATCACAGCACTGGTCCAGAGCGCACTCCTCGAAGGTTCCACAGTCGCACTCCTCATCCTCCTCGACCACCTTGTTGCCGCAGTTTCGACGCAACTCAATCTACACAAGTGGCGAAATGGTTGATAGAAACAAAGGGAATTGAGTGCAGGAAGTTATTTCCCTCTACGCGCTTATAATTCCCAACCGGTACTGGTACTGAGTCCTCACCTCATTTGGCTTGTTGAGCAAACACAGTCCGTGGCCAGTCCGCAATGCGTCAATGTAATCTTTTTTACTGCACTCGGAAAATTTGTATGGCTGGACATTCTCCTGGCCCACAATCGACTGGGCCATGATGCAACCGTGCCAGTCACGGCAGAAGCACTCCTCGCCTACGGCAAAAATGCAATGGCAAAATGGCAAATGGCGAAAATCGGGCGGAAAAAAATCAGGGGGAAAATAAGAGGGAGAAAATGAGATTCGGTTTGGTGGGCAGCACTGAGATATTGATGAGATAATTCTTACGTCCGTCGTCGTGTCCCATGCCGATGTTATGGCCAATCATGTGGGCCATTGTGCCGGCCAAAAGGTGCGGCTCATATACATTCACATCCACGCTGATGCCGACAGCACGGGGCGTACAAACAGTTTCGGGAACGGCCATGCCAGCCTCGCCGCCGGCAAAGGTTTCGCCACTGGAGAAGATATGGTTACACATATATGGTAGTTATGTATCGCCCAGTCGATGTAGATTTCAACAGAATTGGGAATCTTACGTGAGCAGCTGTGTGGTGTCTCGCTCGATTTGGAACAGATTGCGGGAGGTGTAGTCGTTGAAGTTGGATATTGCCTTGCTGATATCCTTGCTGCCATCGATGACCGCCTGGTTTTTGCCCCAAGTCTCAATGTACACAACCGAGACGCGTGTGTTCAGCGTGCGAAAGTACTGCAAATACACGTTTAAGCGTTAACTGGGCTATTATTAGCAGCGTGTGGTGGTTACCAACCAGATCGGCTATGTTGGCCACCTGAATGGCATCGTGGATGACCTCCGCTCGAGTGCTGCCATTGCGCTTATCGAACATTGCCTTGTCCACGATGATGGCCGTCTCAATGTACTTGGTGGCCTCCCGCACATCCCGCTTGTTGCGGCCCACTCCCGCCTGGAGGATCTCTTCCACGACGCCGGAAACTCCGGCGGACAAGTGCTTTGTGCGGCGCGATAGCCGCCAGGATTCAATATTGCCCGAGTTGGCGCACCCTTTGTTCGCCTTCGTGCGCGCCTCGAAGATGACATGAGGATGTTTCTGGGGCGAGAATTGGGAAAATAATAATTGCATTTGCTCCATTGCACGTGCTCCAGCACTGGATCCATGGGCTACTCACGGACAGGTCCCCGCCGTAGAAGGGATGGATGACGAAGGTCTCGTTACCGATGTGGATGACGCCACTTACGCCGTTGCAGGTGTGGAATGCTGCACTGGCTCCGGGATAATCCTTCACGGTCCCGTGGTAGTAGCAGTGCTCGATATCCTGCAAAAAGTCGATCAAAGAGGTTAGTTCAAATCATGCAACATATCTTTTCAATATCGTAGGTAATAATGTATTTCCATACTAAAATTATCTCAAAATAAATTGTAATAACGCTCTCGAATTGTTGAAACCTTAACTCACATGTCGATTTCCATCCACAAGATATCCACCCACGTGGTAGTGTTTCTGTTGTATGTTTGGCGAAAGAAGTTGTCTGAAAGGAATAAATATATTTTATATATGTTTTATTTAATTCACTTTATATAATGGCTTACGAATTGAGCTCCAGGTCCAAGCGGAATTTGTGGTTAAATGCTTTAATCAGCAGCGATGTGCGATGGAAGTGTTTCTGCAAATAGGAACAAAAATGCAGGCCAATTGGTTTCAAAGTTTATATAAGCTTATAATCCCTGTACCTTTGTTCTTCCCCTGTTAAACCCGCTGTCGTCATGAGGTCGAGGTCTTTGTCCCGGCTAAAAATAAGAGAGTAAAGTGTTTAGTTCAATTGAAGGGTAGTTAAGCCTGACTAGTGACGAAGCGCACCGCAAGGGTGTTCTTACCTTTGGGAGACTGACTTCGCGCGTGGATATGCCCATCTTCTCGTGATGGCGCAGCTGTACTGGATATATAATTTGGTAATAGTGACCACCAATTCGACGGACAAGCTCTTGGTTTTGCCTGTACTCCTTAAGTAAACGTTCCACTTCTCCTGAAATGTGGCACACATTTAAATAGGATTTACATCAGCTAGTTACTAGAGATTTACTCACCAACAGGACTTTCTTCATTCCAAAATGAATCATCTAGTGTGTAATCTGCTTCTGTAAAGGTAATGTTCGTTTTTTTAACTCTTCGATTGTTAATTAGGAAAACAGTTAAAACTATTTACTATCTTATTTCAAAAAACACGATCCCTAACAGATACTTCCCTCAATTTATGTAACAAAAGGCCTGAAATTCAATGTGTCATGTGCTTTTTTGCCCCCTCTTATTTGTCACAGGAAACCAATCAACTTTGTGACGCCGTGAAGCACTTAAAACATTATTAATGAGATAATTGGCTTAACCTATTAGTGTTTTCATTGTTAATAATATGATAATGGATCGGTAGAGTTTCAGAATCCAAACGCTTTGCCGAATTTCGTATGCCACGGTAAAGCGTAGGAATTCTAAAACTCTGCAGCACCCACAATTTATTATTGCCATAGATTTGATATTTGTGTTCGTATTTGCAACACATTTGCTTTAGTTAATTAAGCAAAACGATTCTGCATAGAATGAAGTTGTTGTTCAGTTATGCAACAATTATCCCTTGTTGACTGGGCAGCAAAAGCAATTTGTAACATGTCATGTTCAACTTTATGCAAATTGTTTTGCTGAGAACAATTTCGTTGCAATGAATGAAATAATGTTGCAATGATTTAATTAATCCCCCTAAACATTGTTCTATGGCTGTGGCATGATTTAAATACTGGCTGTGGTGGCAATGGGAAAATCTATCTAACTTATGTATGTACGTAATATATTTAATAACGTTAATTAGGAAAATCGTTTGCTTACCCCCTGCAGATGTGACGAAAACGCACAGCTGAGCAATGATGAGGATTAAATTGGCGATATTTATCCACATGACGGCGGCTGCGATATTGTGATTAAAAGTGAAGTTGTCCAATCCAGCCCCACTTCTAAGTCTTAGTTTTCTCTCCTAAGTCCTCGCGGTAATAATTTATAGAAAACTGCCTTCATATGGTACTTAAAAATATCTGTTTGCATTAGTTAACTTCCCTCCAGTAGTATCAGTATCTCAGTATCTCAGTATCAATATCTGTATCTGTATCTGTATCTGTATCTATATCCTATATTCTTTATTCTGTATTCTGTTTTCTGTTTTCTGTATTCTGTGTCCTGTGCTATATTGAATTGATTTGCAGTTCTAAAGCATATCGAGAATGGGAGTTCGCTCCACCGCTTCAACCAGACATTCTCCAATTCAATTTCAGCTTTAACATCATTTTCATTTGGATCGGGCTGGTATCTGGATTCTGCTGGGTGTCTGTGGCAGTGGTTTTGCGTTTGCGTTTGCGTTTGTGACTGGGACTGTGACTGTGGCTAGGCTTTCAATGGCATCCGGATGCAGCTGGCATAGTGCGTTCATCACACGGCGCAGCGACTTGGCTTGGCTTGGCTCAAGGAAGCTCGGAAAATAAACAAGACAGTGATGGCAAATTCAATTCTAGTATTCACTCTTCGCAACGTTCCTCCAAACGCCTCTTTATTACAACCGTAGCAGTAGATTAAAATGCATCAAAATCCGTCTCAAGTTATGAGCAAGCGATATCCTTTGGTGCTGTAAATGGAAATAGGTATGTTATTACTATTTGGGATATTTTGGATACTGAAAACTCCTCTAAATAGGTGTAACATATATTGTAATAAAATACCATTATCTCTATTTAGTTCGAAGGCTTTTAGTTCTTAAGATAATATTTATGCAGGAAAAGTTTCCCCAACACCAAGTTTTTAATCTTATTATTAAAAAGCTCCCGGTTGAAAACTAAAACGTAAGCAAATTGCATTCTAAGAAGTTGCACAACACTGATTTTAGATATAATCGACTCAAGCAATTCGATCTTGATATCATTATTATTATTATTATTTGAATTCGAACCTTTTAAGCTTCTTCTAATTTATGAATATGATGTAATTGCCTTGCTGTGCAGCAATCACTCATATGTATCTAGGGATTTTGGATCTAGATATCTGTGTTCCGAGGTATCAAAGAGTTTGATATTCAAATGAGACGCACGATGGTTTTAAGATAAAGCTCAGGTCAAATCTGCTTAGAACTGTGCATTAGGGGATTGCCCAAGCGAAACTAATGAGAAGCCACGTCGGCACTAAGGTGAATGTAAATGTGGATGTGAATTTGAATGTTCTATGCGGAATGTTGGATGTTGGATGCTAAACGCGAGTGTTGGGCACCGGACAGTGAAGAGCGCTCCGAGGCCACAGCCCACAATTTTAATTTGCGCTAATTAGGCAAGGACAGACATTTAGCGGTGACAGAGAAATGGTAGAAAGCAGATTCAATTAGCTGAAAAATCCTATTAAATAATTAATATTCATTAGGTAAGAAAGACGATTGCGATTGCGATTGCGACTGCGAATGCGATTGTGAATGCGAATGCATTTCCGAATGTCGGCGAGTAGTTGCGGCAATCAAATTACGAATCAGTTCCCATAACTCAATCAATTAAACTTCTCTTTTAAATATTGTACCACGGTTTTCGGATATGTACAACTCGATGATATAGTCACATAAAAAAAGGATCGGTGTCGCAACTTATAGGATTTATTTATCCACACATATGGCTTTAACCGAATATTTACTCGTCCGTCCAGAATTCAGCAATCGTATGCACAGAAAGATAATCAGAGACTAAAAAGCAAAACCGAACATAATTTATAGGATCAAAGGGGAAAATTGGAAGCTGCGCTGCTGACGCCAGTTATTAGCTACACTTGGCGAAACTGGAAGCTAATATCGCACTCAAGTACACATAATCTGTGATAATTTCTCCTAAATGTGGGATGCCCGTTTGCACTAAGCCCAAGGTTGAAATGATAAATTGTTTGCATATTGTAGGACGCCTTTCTCTAAGTGTGGGCAGCTAATTTGTTTAAGTGTTCGTTCGTGCAAATTAAATGTTTGCTTTTACTGCAATTACTGTGATTTTTCCTTTGCCCCAGCGAGCAATCAGTTTTAAATTACTTGTTTCAAACACGAGCTTATGCAACCCAGTGTATATTTAACTTCAATAAACTATAAAATACAAACAGTCATTTATTAACAGGTTTCCGCTTATGAGAAAATGATTTATCTTGATTTAAGTCGAAACATAGCGACAATCATTTATTAAGTTATTTCTATTACCCTAAAGCGTTATTTATATAAAAATTAGGATAGCACTTAATTAAGTATTTAGTGGCTGCGGCTGAATCAACAGGTCTTGCAAATTTCCAAATGCTTAGCAATTATTTATTGAATTTCCCTTTACATGAGAGCGTCCTGAAATTTGGGTCATTTCGGCGAGGAGGCAGTAGGGTAATTTATTGCCGCAAAAGGAGACGACACTGGCCCACATGGAAAGTGGCGGAATAAAGGACCAAAAAAGGATAGCAACGAGAATGGCACATGTTTTAAGCATAGAAAAACTCGTGAAAAGTAACTTACTTTCATGGCAATTAATAGCATTACAAATTTGAGTCCCACAGCATTCCACAATTGCGAATCTCGAACGGGCGTGGTTTAACCGTCAAAAAGGCTCAGCGAAATCCAATTATTTCTTTTAAAAATGTAATAAACTAGCCATTTCCTCTTAGAAAAACTCTATCCAAACGAGGTTTATTCACCAACCATTGCCATCAAGCGTGCGAGTGATTTTCTTTTTTGTCATTAGTTTGAAAGCCGGTGAAAAGTGTTCAACTAACAATGTGCACGTATACACAGAAAAAGTTATGTGCCCTTTTAAAGCTGCATACAAGTACAACATGGATGAAGTATAAATATTTTAAAATGTATGCATAGCTCTTTTGCATTGGGCGTATCAGCGCATCATACACTATAGTGACTATATAGTTTACGCGGCTTAATAATTGTGATGGAATATGACAAGTATATGAGGCATTTTTCAGAAACACACCCCAAGCAAACTGGCATAGGGAACGGGATGACGAGAATGCACATCTTAAATACAGTGTGGCATACTTTTGGGCACCTTTACGAGTGCTTCTCCAGGCCAAGTGGCTGGTCGCATACAGATGACAACATCTTACCAACACACCCCTCAAGTCGCATAATTTGAGGCCCCAACACGCGATGAGCACGCTGAGGTGATGGGGATGAGCTGAGGTGACTAACTGGTGTATCCTGGTAACTTAATCCCCGGATTGCGACACATGTTCCTCGCTGTCGAGGGCGGCCACAGCCGAACCAGACTCAGACTCAGAACCAGAAATAGAATCAGATTCAGTTTCAGAATCAGAATCAGATTCAGAATCAGATTCGGAATCAAAAACAGAACGCGAAACAGAATCCTTGGGCAGACACACCAGACAGCGGCAGCTGACAGGAAAATAAATAAATAAAGGGATGAAATTTAAGGACGCGAGAGTCGTGGTCGTCGGCTGGCTCTCCAAAGACTGAATGCGCAGCCTCCGACTAGACGGCATTCCAAAGATGGGAACTGCACACATGTGTGTGGATCCGAGGGCCAATAAAATGAGTTATTCCTTTTGCCAATTCACAGGGGCCACACACTTTTGTCTGCTGACTAATGATTGCACACATTGTGCAACTTGGCCAATTAAAACTTGCTCTATTCCAAATCAACTGGAGTAGCCGCAGCTCGAGTGGAAATGCTTTACAGTATGCTCTTTCCTAATTCATTCGGCTTGAGCAACTTACTTTGCGTTGGTTAAAACTAGTTGGCTTACTCCATGATATCGCAAAGTTTGTGGCAGTATCCGTCCACTAAGTGGGCCGCATTTCGTAGCCTTACACTTGCAGAAAGAAAGATGGTAGTTTCCTGTATATATTCAGGCCCTTTATTGCACGGGTCTTGATAAGCAATCATAAATCGCAGGTCATGGCTTCTAATCTAGTGCAGAATTAGGTTTGCTTCGATTTGTATTGAAAGAAAGAGAGTTTTTTTTTTTTTTTTTTTTTTCAGCCAGTTTTGAAGTACGTTTTCCAGCCAGTAAAAACATGAATACCTCTAGTAAAGTAAACGAGATGTAAAGCGACCTAAGCTTATCAATTGCAGTCGAAGTTAGTACCATTGATCTGTGATTTCGCCCGTAAATGCAGCTATTTTCTCCCTGTGCACAGCTGCATAGTTATTTGACCTAATCTGAGCCTTTGCCGCATTGTTTTGCCGCTTTTCGGCTGGGCCTTAATGAACCCATCTGGAGTCAATGTGCTGGGAGAAGGAAGTCCGAGCTCCGAGGGATGGGAGTGCGATCTAATGGGTGAGCTGTTTTCCTTTATGGATCAGCAAACATTTGGGCGTTGTCACTGGGAATCAAATGGGAATCGCGACACCATCGCCGTGATTGATAAACAAATTGCCCACTGCTTGTTTACTTTCCTGCCAGCGCAGATTTTCCGCACGTTAACTTACCATTGAGTGGGACTCACGGGCTGAAGGACTCACTCGTCCTTTGCCAGCGGCTCAAATCCAGTTACGTGTTTCGTTCGGCTGGCGTGGGATTATGCGGTGGATTTAATTGTTTCAAAACAATAGAAGGCAGACGAGCACGCTGCGATTTCTGGCCGTGCACAACGTTGGTTAGGTGGGTCAATGGCAACGCATGCCCAGACCCACAATAATTGTGGACAATGTCTCCTGGCTGTGGAGCGCCAGCAAGTCCGATTCATTGCAAACGACAGGGCGACGCACAAAAAGCTGATGTCCTGACACACTTCGAACTGCCAGAGTCCTTTGCGAGAAAAAAACAAAACCAAATTCCTTCGCATGCCAGTGGGGCGGCGGGGAGCGGAGGGGAGGTGGGCAGAGAGGATATCCAGATATGCATTGGAATACAAAGTGTGGGATAAAAGCATTTCTGTATCGCTATTATTCATTGGTCATGCGCAGTCAGCCGCGCCTCATTTCCGCTCGAGAGTCGGGAGTTGGACCATATTCGCAATAATAGTAAGTATGTTGGGCATGTGGTATGTGTTTTGGCCCAAGTATACATTTTCCCCCCTATAATTACGGCCATAAAGCTATCCGACTGTCCAACTAGCCAGCTACCAGCTAGCCAACTAAGCAGTTCCATCTGCCAGAGTTGGGAACACTGGGCCATGTATACCGAAGCACACTATTTCCCACATGCGTGTATATATAGAGGGCTATGTGCCGATTTCTGATAGATATAATACCTTGGGTACGTAATTGCAGCAGAGTCGGGGCGGTGCGGGGGTACTCACCTACGGAAATGTGGGAAACTCGGAAAATTCGCCAGAATCCATTGAAACGGTAGTCGAGAGTAGTTGTGATTTATTTGTTATCCTTGCGCTTAGGTTTGCTTTAGGTTTTAGGTTTACATTGTACTGCTTTATGAACACACTCAGTTTGTTATTTGGCCAAACAGTAAAAAAAATATGCAAAAAATGTTCATAAAATATGTATTTTATGATCTTTCCTCTTTCGCCTTAGCATATACACATGCATATACACGCATACATGTATATATTTATATTTATATATATATATAAATATATATATATTTATTCTATTTTTGTATTGCCCATATTTGATTTAAATGTGCTGATTTACATCAATCATTTGATTCTGAGTAATTATTTGTTGGGTTTTCACATTTTGCCCACCCGTTCGGCATTTCGTTTTTCCTCTTTGCTTTAACTTTTTTCTTATATATATATATATATGTGTGTGTGTGTATATATATATGTATATATTAAAAGTCCACGGTGTGCTGGGATTTGAAAACGAAATTCTTTGTTAACATATATATACTTTTGCCTGGGCTGGTAATTCAGTTGTTTCTGGGGTTTTTGTTGGATCTTTGGGGCGCCGACTCGGGGATTATTCCTCAATAAACTCAATAAACTATTGTTCCGCTGGCTGCGAACTAATCGGCTTTTTCTTGCATCTGCACTCTTTCTGCTGTTCTTTCTGTTCTTTTTTTTTTGGTTTTTGTGTTTTTTGTGTTTTTGTATTATTTTTTATTTGCTGCTTCTTCTATTAAAAACTATCGCCGTGTCTCGTGCCTCGCAAACCGCTTTCCGCAATTGCAAACAACGTTCTAAAGCTCTCGAACACGTCTGCAGGATTTTGGCCAGGCGAAAAACGATTGCCGACCGACCCAGAGGGGCCACCAGCCAGCCATTCAACCAGCCAAGTCGCCAGTCGACGCAGCCGCAGAGCACCGGAATCTCAACTGGGAGATTCCCAATCCCGGCCATCCCATCCCATCCCATCCCATCCCATCCCATCCCCACCCGGCTGGTTCTCGTCTCAGCATCTCGGCTCTCTCGGGTTGTGGGCCATGTCCTCTCGGTCCTCGGATGCGTTGGATGCTGGGATGTTCGGGTTCCCTGGCTCTGCAGCAGTCGGCACGGAATCGCTGCTCTCTCGCCGAAAGTCGGAAAAAATCCAATCCTTGGCCCCGACGAGCTTACAATCCGGGTACGTCTGTTTATGCCTGTTATGTGGAGCAAAAGGGTATATTGTATTCGTGCAAAGGTGCGTAATTGTAAAAGGAAGTATAGTATACACCTACGCCTACGTACATTTCCATCTAGCCGTGTCTGTCTCTCTGTCTCTCTGCCTCCCTTCGTCTGTCTGCCTGTCTGCCTGTCTATCTGGCCGTCGAGATCTTGGCCAGCACAATGGACAGGGAACTGGGTCTGCAGTGCTCCATGCCAGTGGGCTTCACAGATTGGCCACGCCCCCCGCCGCCTAGCTCAATGTGACCTGATTTATGTAAACGGATTTTGAAATTAAGTTAGGGTAAATAAAGCCTAAAAATAAATACGGACTACATTGATGGCCAGTGTAAATGGCTTTCTGTCATGGAAACTTGCCATATCGCAGGCATACTAATGCAATTAACCATATTCCAAATGAAATTTTATAAAAATATTTAGTGTACTGTTGAAGCTCGGCTGTGTGAAAGTTGTGTTTATTCGTTTATTTTACGCTTCAATTGTAATAAAGTAAATTGGAAACTAATTGACACGAGTATCTGTGCACTTTACTCGCTTGTTTTTCGAGTGAAACCAAGCATTTGGTTCTTTAAAATACAGCCAATTTCTACGGCAAATTAAAACACACACCTATTCACAAGTTTTCGCCACTTATTTGTGGCCGCAGAAGTAGTATAGATTCGTAGGATTTCCCAGGCACACAGCTACTTGGAAAATGCGTTTGATCAAAATTTCATTTAAGCACTTAATGAGGTGGTAAGTACATGCCTTGTGTGCAAACGCTTTCTAAAATATTTACTGTGTAATTAGGGAAAATGGTAGAAGGAGTAATTTCAGGGCGCAGCAAGTGAACTATAAAAGTGGGAAATGCCTAGTTTTAACACCGAGTGCCTTGGCATTTTCCACAAAGTCATGTTCTACTCGTATCCCTACAAGGCGCTCAGTTTTCCCATTCAGTGCGTTTGGCTGAAACTGAATGGCTCCTGGCCAGTAAGCGAATCATCGAGGCCATGGAAGAGGCAATCCTTTTTGGCCACCGCCTACATAGTGTGGGCGTGGTACGTTGTTGCATCCGTGGGCATAACAATCAGTTTCCAGACCACTTTTCTGCTGAACCACCTTTCGGATATCATCATCACCACGGAGAACTGCTGCACCACCTTCATGGGAATCCTGAACTTCGTCCGGCTGCTTCACCTGCGCCTCAATCAGAGCAAATTCCGCCAGCTGATTGAGAACTTCTCCTACGAAATTTGGATACCTGAGTAAGTCCGTTCAACCATGTCTAATATTCATCCCATTAAAATCCAGAGGCTTGCAATCTTGCTTAGCTGAAAGCGCAGAAAAGTATGCTACGTTTTTGTTAAATAAAGCTCACATTTCGCATGCTTTCGCTAGGAAATTTCCTGCCTGCAACTGAATTTTCATTAAAATCCTTATTGAAATATATTGGCTACCTTCCTCCTAACAGCTCTTCAAAAAACAGTGTTGCTGCGGAGTGTCGCAGGCGCATGGCTACGTTCACCATAATGACATCCTTGCTGTCCTGCCTGATTATAATGTACTGTGTCCTGCCGCTGGTCGAGATCTTCTTTGGACCCGCCTTCGATGCGCAGAACAAGCCGTTTCCCTACAAGATGATCTTTCCGTACGATGCCCAAAGCAGCTCAATCCGCTATGTGCTGACCTATGTGTTCACCTCCTACGCGGGAATCTGCGTGGTCACCACATTGTTTGCAGAGGACACCATCTTTGGCTTCTTCATTACCTACACTTGTGGCCAATTCCAACTGCTACACCAACGAATTGCCGGACTATTCAGGGGTTCCAATGCGGATTTGGCCGAGACCATTCAGCTGGAGCGCCTCAAACGTATTGTGGAAAAGCACAATAATATTATCAAGTTGGTATTGGGCATTTTTCAATTACAATGATGGTATTATGTGTATTATTGTATTATGATTTTGATAATAGTTTCGCCAAGCGCCTGGAGGACTTCTTCAATCCGATTCTCTTGGCCAATCTAATGATTTCATCAGTTCTTATCTGCATGGTTGGGTTTCAGATAATAACTGTAAGCCTAATAAGTTGATATATTCGTATAATGACGAGATTTTCTTTCCAACTTTATCAGGGTAGAAATATGTTCATTGGAGACTATGTGAAGTTCATAATTTACATATCATCGGCCCTTTCACAATTATACGTGCTTTGCGAGAATGGAGACGCATTGATAAAACAGGCAAGATGTGCACTGATTTCCTATTTTTAACCAATTAATCTATGTTATTTCCATTAAACAGTCCACTTTGACAGCCCAAATTCTGTATGAATGCCAATGGGAAGGATCCGATCGCATTGAGTCTGATTCCCCCGCGCCAACGAGCAAACGAATCCGAAATCATATTTCGTTTATGATCCTCTGCAGCCAACAACCCGTAAGGATTACGGCTTTCAAATTCTCAACGTTGTCCTTGCAAAGTTTTACGGCCGTATGTGCAGCAAATGTTGTGGAAAAACACAATTAATCACATCCTTTTCAGATTCTAAGCACCTCGATAAGTTATTTTACCTTGCTGCGGTCAGTTTACTTCGACGACGGAAAGAAACAGGACTAAATGAATATGCGTATTTTAGTAGGCAACTTTTTAGCAATGTTGTATAAAAAAATTATACCTAAATAAATAATGCTCGAAAGGTAGAAGGCCACACAGTGCTAAGCTCGTGGCGAAATCTTCAATCCACTGGCGTTCAAAATTGCAATTTATTTTTTACCCATTTTATGCAAAATTTTAGTTGCTTAATACAGTTGTTCTTTTATCTTTGTGATCGTTTTTATGATGATGCCAAGTTATGATGAAAATTCCCATCGAAAATATCGAATATTTGCCAAAAGTCGTATTTCCCATTTTCCATCATAATCCGTTTTTTGCCCACAACAAAAATAATTGTCTGAATATTAAATGCCATACCTCGTTGAGCTCGTAATGAAATTTTTAATCGAACTGTATCCAAAATTGGAAATCCTTTTTTTTGCTATTTTTCGCCAATTTTTTCGCCCTTATCTAAAATGCGAAAAATTACCCAAAAATTAATTTTCCCAACTCCGTTTAGTATTGGTTAATAGGAGCAAAAAACTGTAATTACTTTAGCTGTGTGACCATTTTTAGCTAAGTTCTACAAAAAAAAAACCATTCGTAAATATAGAATTTTGTACATAAATCGATTAAAAAACAATCAGTATTTTGGTCAGAACACTCGAATTAATGGTCCAAATTTGGAATGTCACACCTCGTTGAGCTTCTTATTTAAATGTCAATCAAATTTGGAAATATTAATTTTATTTTTTCAATTCGGCAAAAAAAAAAATTTTAAATAATGGCCAACAAATTAAAAAATTTTAGAATAGATCAAAAAATGATACAGATAGTTAGTTTGGGTTGTCAGCTGCATAAAAATATTATTCACTTGGCAAAAGGCTAATTACGATCTACCATTCAATGGATTCCAGAGAATTCGCGGCAATGAAATGATTTTGTGTGCCCAATGATAGAATTTAAACGCCAGGCAAGTATTTTCTTATTTTTAATGAATTTCTCAGACAAACATAAGATCACAAATAGTAACTATTAATATTTTTATTTTATTTTTGTAATTAAAATATGCACTACTCCACACATCCTTGATCTAGATATCGTTCTTGCCGCGCGCCGAGCTCCCAGCAGTGGTCGTAGTATTGATAATGGATGCACTGCCGCTGGTCAGAGATGCACTAGCCTCTCCTGCTCCTCCTCCTCCTCCTCCTCCCCCACCTCCTGCGCCGAGCATCACAGTCTGTCCCGATGGAATGCCGTGCTGCACCAGGAAATCGTGCTCATTCTTCGCCTGCCGCAGCCAGTTACGCAGATCCCGGGTTCGCTCCACCAGGCAAGTGGTGTAGTTGACGGCCCGTGGACTCTGGGACACAATGGTGTTGGCCGTGAGGATGGCGGCGCCCATGGAGCTCTGCATCCGGCCGGCGGCCAACTGGCGATAGGTCTCCAATCGATCGGCCAGCGTGGGAATCGAGTGGGGAATATGCACAGCTCCTCCGCCGTCGATGTCATCGGATAGGGAAAAGTTCTGAGTGCCAGAATGCTGATGCTTGAGCACCTGCGACGACCACCCGAGGTCCCGTGGTGATAGGATCGGGATGCCCGATGCGTTTTGATCATGCTGCTGTTGATATTGCTTTTGCCCGAATATATCCAGAATTTCCCGGATTTCGGCATTCAGTATTTCCAGATTTTCAATGCACTCGTTCGACTCCTGCTGGTAGTAGTCCTTCTTCTTGTGGAAATCCGCGGCACTGGCCAAATCAGTGCTACTGAAGCCGGAACTGGAGTGCGACGACAGATCGCTAAGTGTGGCCGCATCGTCGATGGTGCCCAGGTCCAGGATCGATTTCTCCTTCTCGTAAATCCTCAGCAGGCTCTGTTCCAGATGTCGCAGTCGTATTATCTTCTCTCCCAGCAGGGAACGAGTGCGATGGAGATTCACCTCCATCTCGGTCAGTTCCTTCTCCTCCTGGATTAGCTGATCAATGGAGTGCTTCGGCGTTAGGGCGGTTATCTTCCGCTGCTGGCCGATCTCCCGCTGCCGCAGCCGGAAATTTGTGCGCTGTGTTCGTAGCGATTCCTTTGCCCGACGCACCGAATCCCGCTCGAGATGGATGCGATGCTTGAAGAACTCCAGCTCCGAGCCCACACCATTCGGCTTGATGGAGATGTCGGTGAAGGGGTATCGCAGATGATAAGGTGCATCCAGGGTATTCTCGGGAAACTGATCCTCCAGCGCCTCGAGCTTCTGCAGTTGATGACGCAGATTTTCCACCGGAGTACAGGGTCGGTCGCCCCTGTAGCTGGTATCCGAGTTCAAGCGCGACGTGGATGCCGATTTGGTGCGCGAAAAGACGATCCTACTGATTCCGGTCGATTCCTTGATCTGGTTACTATTGTTGTTCCTCTCGAGGTTCGATTGTGTGGCCACGGCAGCCACTAGCCCGTCCCTCGATGAGTTGCCATTATCACTGGCCGTTCTGGCGGAGAGTACTCCGCTGGCGGATTTGAGAAATGGACCGTAGCGACCATTATTATAGGTGTTCGATAGGGTCGTATCCGATTGACTAATGGAGGTATTATCATCCTGCACCTGCAACTGCCGGATGTTGTACGACTTGGTCAGTTGACTCTTGTGCTGAACTGGACCTGGTTTGACAATGGCCTCGCCGGCGATTGCCTGGTCCGAGTAGCTGAGCGAGCGATTGTCGCTATTCCCGGATTGGGGCTTGTAGTACCGCTCCATGGAGCGCTCCATTTCGGTGCCACTGTTGTTGGATTTCGTGCTGTTGGTGTGGTTATGTTGGGGCGCCATCTGCGCCTCCCGCCGGCGATTCCTTCGCTCCAGCGACAGCTTCACGTCCGTCTTGAGGCGCACGTACTTCTCCTTGAGGCACCTGTACTTGTCCTCCAGCAGGCGCTTCTCGCACCTGACCTTCTCGTACAGCCGCTCCTCGCCCTTCTCCCGGAATCGCTGCTTCTCCGCGTCCAGCTCGCGTGCAAACTTCTCGCGCATCTGGGACAGTCTGGAGCTGTGCTCCCGCCGCAGCAGCTCCTCCTCGTCATGCAGTTCCCGCTCGAGATCGCGAAGGATCTCTTCGTGGTTGGCCTGCAGGGTGTCCAGCCGGCTCTTGTGCTCGGTGGCCATCAAGGTGCGCTTGTTCTGCAGCTGTCGCTCCAGTTGCACCCGGTACTTTTCCATTTGCAGCTCGAAGGCCTCCTCCAGTTTGTGCTGATGCGATGTCAGCCGGAGATCGTATTCGTGGCGGAATCTCTTCAATTTCGCATCGTGATCCCTTCTGATCGCCTCAAAGTCGGTCTGCAGCTGGGCCTCCGTGTCCGTAAAGCTGGGCCTATGTGCTGATGCTGACTTTTCCGATGGAGGCACTTGGACCGATTTGAGCTGCAATTGTTCCAGCTCGTAGCTGTGCTTTCGTCCCAATTCCTCCAAATCGAAGGCATTATTTCCGGCCAAAAGTGAGGAGTCCTGTTCGGATTTATTTATAATAAAGCTACGCACCGAACTGCCCTTCGAATCGGAATCTGTGTCGTCGTAAAATAATTTTGGTGCATCAGTGTCCTTAGTTTTATCTGAGGTTGTATCTCCAGATCCTGATAATTTCACTACTTCCGGCAAAGTCTTTGGTATAGTCTTATTCGAGTCCGAAAAGAAGGGATTGCGGTTGTATATGGCCTCATCGTTATCGGGCCAGGGATTAAGTACGTCATCCTTATCAGCTTCCTCTACATCCTCATCTTCAATCACATCATCATCTTCATCCCCCTCACCATCATCGTCATCTTGAACCACCACATCCTCATCATCGTCCTCCGATGGCGTGTCCTCGGTTCGCTTGTAGGCTTGCGTAATCCTGGTGGATTGGGTCTCCTCGGGGGAGCTCTTCCCTGGCTGTCCCTGATCCAAATTAAACCGCACACTCTTCTTATCCTCCCCCTCAATCGTGGGCTCCAGTCGATCCAGTCTTCGACTTATATCGGTTATGCTCGAATCGCGCAGAATACCCTTGACACCGGACGGCGAGGTATATCCATCGCTTTCGAATTGTCTATGTGCCTTTTGGAACATCGATACTGTACCGGAAAGCTTAGTACCTCCTTCGTTTTCCTCCGACTTATCGGATTTTCCATTCATTTGACTAGTGGGCGAGGGTTTATTCGCTATTTGGGGCTTTAGCTTGGTCACCTCGAAGCCAAGCTGATACAATCGACCCATATCCTTGGGTCCAGAGTCCAAAAATCGACTCTTAGCACTACTAAATAAGCTGGCCTTGCTGGCCACCGACCATTTCCGGCCAAAATTGTTTAGGGGCAATGGACCCGGCGAGGGAATATCATCGATACCCTGCATGCTACGTATTCCGGAGTCCAGTTGCGAAAGATCATCATTATCCCCCACCGATCCCGTGTCCAGAGGCTTCTGACGCGCCTGCTTAACCAAATCGCGATATATGGCATCTAGTGGATGGTCCCACTGGGATTCTTTGGTTCGCGTATTATGGTAATAATGGCCATTCTTCTCCTCCGAGTAGCTGTCAAAAAGAAAATAATCCAAAATTTCGTTATTTTTGCATGCACCTTTAATCAAAGGAAACCTCACCATATCTTCCAATCCGATGGCAATGCGGCCATCAATCCTTCCTTGGCGAGATATAGCAAATGCGGTTCCTTCTGAGGCTCGATTCCAATCAGGGAGGCATACTCATTGATTTCTGAACAAAAAGGGGGAATATATGTATATTAATCATTTGGCAAGACATCGCATTTCCAAATTTTTGTGCAAAACCTCGATTTCCACTTAAATTCCATACTTTCAATAAAAAAATGTGCTTTTAATATAGTAAAATAAATAAATTGAAAAAAAACCTTTTCCTTAATTCATTTGTAAAATGTAGCATTTGTTTACTGCTGTTTTCCTTACTGTTTCTTTTTTATTTTTTATTTGTTTCAAACTTCAATATTAGCAATAAAATTAAATAAAATAAAGGTCCTTTCATTGATTTTAGCTACCGTATATGTACATATATACCTGAGTACATATATGCCCTGAATGGTCAACACGCCTACCTCAATCGTTATACACATGTTAGAAATCACTTTTTATTGGATTGTAACACCATAAATT